TTCCAGCGTCTGCACTTCATGCACTTATTCAAGATTCGTTTGACTTCCGTTCTACCTTTTGGGATCCATATCGTCGATCTCAGATTTGAGAGTGTATGAGCAATTCCAGCATGATACAGTTAGATTGTCGTTGCTGAATAAAGAGTTCAGTTATGGTGTTGTGTCTCGGGGAGATATATTGGGTGTAAGTTACTCTCTTTCATTTCAGAGTTAACTACGCGGCTTTTGTATCTCCATAGTTCGTTATCATAGAACAAATTCCATTTGATTATTTCATCTTTGGTAACTCCTTCTGACTGTGCTTGTTTGAATAGCACAATTTCTGACAACTCGTAATCCTGTGTTGTCAATATATTCTTTTCTTTCGTTGCCATCTTTAGCCAAGGAATTTCCCTTTTCATTGTTAATCTTATGAATTTCAGAACCCAACCAGTTGTTCTTATTAATCTTGACCATTTGCTAAAACGACTAGCATCTAAGATTCCGAAATGTTTGTTTATGATAATTGGTTCTGTGATGTGGGCCACAATTTCTTCATCCTGGTAATCCTCATTGTAATTGTATTTCCACTGTGGCCATTTTGATTCGTTTTCTGTTAACCACTTTGGTCCTTTCCACCAAAGATCATATCCTTTTAGTTTATTCGGAGAGATTCCTTTTGTAGCTATATCAGCTGGGTTTTGTTCACTTGGGATATATCTAAAATGGATTTTCGCCTTTCGTATTTCTTCTACCCTATTTTGTATGAACGTTGGTAGTAAACGGGAACTATTGTGAACCCAATGAAGCGCACATTGAGAATCGGACCATAAAATTGTTATCACGTCCTCAAGCTCTTTTTGTTTTAATACGAATTGTACCATTCTCACTCCGATGAGTATTGCCAGTAATTCTAATCGAGGTATTGACATTCCTTTAATTGGCGCAATTCGGGATTTAGCAAACACTAAGAATACTTCTCTTTCTTGAGTTCGAATGTATAAAGCTGCTGAGTATGCAGCAGTTGATGCGTCAGTAAAAACATGAAATTGTACTTGCTTGGAACAATTTGTTGTGAATCTTGGTAGATCCTTTAGTTTCTTTGGCCATTCGTTCGTGAGTAAATTTCCACGTGGTTTCATCTTCCTCACTTATAGTTTGATCCCATGAAAGGTTCTTTTTCCACAAAGTTTGGAGAAACAATTTGAATCTTATCAGTATAGGAACTATGAATCCTAGTGGGTCATATTGTGAGGCTACGAATTGCAATACAATTCTTTTAGTTAATTTCTTACCAAACCATGGTTTTAACGTTACTTGAATGATATCTTGTTTGTGGTACCAATTGAGACCTAGAATTTTTTTAATTGAACTTTACCTCTGCTCGATCTTGTACCGGAAGTTTTTCATTGACTTCTTGGTCGTTAGAGAGAAATTCCCGTACATTCATTGATGCTTCATTGAATATAATTTTAATTTCCTTATAATTGGAAAGAGCTTCGTTGGTTCCTTTGGTTGGTATTATAATGTTATCGACATAGAGATTTTTCCTTAACTCGAGTGCGATTTTGCTTTTACAAGTTTCCAAATGATAATTGAGTGTAGCGGACAATAAAAATGGAGATGATACAATTCCAAATGGAACTCGTTGGAAACGGTAACAACTTACGTTTTCTTCGTTAACTGGACTTCGAATGTCTTTCAACCAAAGAAATCGAGTGCAGTTTCTATCTGTTGGATGCAATTCTATTTGCAAGAACGCCTTTTCTACGTCTGCTATTATTACATTTTTCATTGTACGGAAACGTAGCAAAACTCCAACCAAATCAGGGAGTGTTATTGGTCCCCGATATAAAACATCATTTAAACTTTTCATTCCTTTACAATGAGCTGATGCATCATAAACTATCCTCAGATTTGTCGTGGTTTTATTTGGTGTTATTACTTCGTGATGAGGCAGATAATGAATAATACCAACTTCATTCATTTCCGATGACACTTTCTCAATTATATTGGAATTGAGTTGTTCTTCAATAGTTTGATTGTATCGACTTAGTAATTGAGGTTTCATTTGAAGCCTCCTAATTAACGACTTTAATCTTCCAAGGCAAAGTCCGAAATTATCGCTTAGTTTGTTCTTTGAATCTTTCCAAGGCCAACAACTTGATATCTTCCCTTGTCCCTAGTGATAGTTTGTTTAAATTGCTGCAATGCTTTTTCATCATTGTCAGAGTTTATTTTGTCTTGTATACCCATTATTTCCAGTTTCCAAAAGTGATCTAAGTCTGGAATATTGACGGCATTGACTTGAGAAATCGGACTTACTGATGTGGTTTCTGAAATACTGTCGTGTATTTCATTTATATACCCACTTCCAGCTATTATAGGTCCAACCTTTGTATGGATCAATGAAAATCCTGATTTTAAGTTCTCTGCTTGGTCAAACTGGATAAACTTGAAGAAGTGATCCGCACCTATGAGTATGTCCGGTTGTTTCCATTTGTTTTTTGAAATTACTAAACTGATTTCGTTTGTCTATCATCAACAATTCCTTTTTGTTTAGATTAACTACTTGCAATTCATTCGTCAAGTGGTTAACTGTTATTACATCTAATCGGATTATTTCTTTATTTCCAATTTTTACTCCGATTTCAGTTTAGTAGTGATACACGTTTTTGGCGTCTTATCACCAAATGAAGCAATTTTTATTTCCATCTCGTTAGTTTCTTGTAGATTCAATCGATAAGCCAAATCCTTTGATATGAACGATAATTGAGAACCAATATCGAATAGAATTAAAGCCTTTTGTTGGATTTTTGGGCGATTTGGATTGGTTACATTTATTTCCTTACATAACAGTAAGGTTCGCTTTTTCCATTGATTTCCTTTTTCGGTAATGGAGTTAGCGATTGTGACTGAACCCAACCTTTCTTTGTTGGAATCCACTGCTTGCGTGAGTTCCTTGTAGTTGTTGGGACACAGTGCTGTATTGTGTGGACTTTTACAATGGAAACACAAAGGTTTCCCTTTTTTACAATCACTTGTTGCATGTCCTTTTCGTAAACATTTGAAACATGCAGTGATTTCTCTCAAACGTTCCATCCGGAGTTTGAGAGTGGGATAGATGTTACATTCATTGTTCCAGTGGTCCTTATTGCAAAATACGCATGGTTCCTTTTCCCATTTATAGAAATTTTTCCTGGAACCTTTTTTGATTTGATTGTATTATCTCCCTTTGTTTGGTTGATTGTGGCGAAAGCTGACGTTTCGCCTCTAACATTATTTTTGTTTGTTTTCTTCTCCCTTGTGTCTGCTTGACTTCTAGCAACTTCTTCATTTCTTAGAACTAGTTTTGTCAGGTACTGCCGGATATCCTTAACTGACCAACTCGTCGAATCCTCTTTCAATTGGTATAATTTATCAATTATCCACGCTGGTAGTTTATTTTCAATTGTAATTTCGATGCTTGAATGCTCTAAATTTTCACCTATAGCTTCCAGTTGTCGAAATGTTCTCTCCATGGCTTCTATGGTTGCTTTCCACTCTCGGTCATTTTTTTTGATGGTATTCAACTCGTTGTAGAGTGATTTCTTTATAAGGAAAGGTTTACCATATTTCTCTTTTAGTAAACCTATTATAACATCGTAGTTTTCTGGCGCTATATCATAACCTCTTACAGATAACAAAGCATCTCCTTTAAGACATGATATCAGATAGTTTAACTTTTGAATATCTGGGATGCTTTGCTCATGGACTGCTGCTTGAAACTACACCAAAATTGCCTCCACAATTTTGGATCCCCACTAAACGTTATTAGTGGTAATTGAGGAAGTTTTATTTCTGCTTGATTTGTGTGAATCATACTATTCTTTGGAAATGATTCTTTGACCTCTTCTTGTTTTAAATGTTGTAGTACCGAGCAATATTCATCAGTATGTATTTTAAGGGTAATAATAGTTTCTCTTGTTCTAGTGATTAAACTTAAAATACCTTGTGGATCGTCAACCATATTGGCGTATTTCGTCTCCTCTTCCTTTCTCCTCGTTGCTATTGTCAAGCTCTGAATATTATCCAGCCAATTTTGATTAGCTGTTTCGAGTAACCCAGCATAATATTCGAGATGTGCGATCTTCTCCTTGACGATTCGCAATTTAATTTCGTATTGATGCTGAAGTTCCCCTCGTGATAGTGTTTGAGACGGGGAGGTCAGATCGAGTTCACTTGCTTCTTTAAGAAGTTCTAGAGTTCTCGACTTCGATAATTCGCTTCCTTTTCTTATACTGTCGGACATGTCCCGGCTCGTGGCACCAGAATTGTAGTGGAAGCAAAAAAATGTTTTTGGAAACAAACCTTTATGATTTGGTTAAATTGTTATTCGGGGGAGAAGTTTGATGTCAGGGAGATGTGTTGGATGCCAGCTAAATATTTGGGCAACAATTGAATAAAACTGATTCGGAGGATTGGATGATTTTTTAACTGATCTAATTGACAATAGTATGGTTATAAAATCTACATTGATGTTAGACAATGATCCAAACAAAGGAGAGGAGGTGCTTGCATGGGCACCAGTTGCTAATAAAGAGCTTATTAGATAACCGCATGATTATGATAGCTAACAAAGAACAATGTAGATATCCTCATGATTGTAAGGATTGCTAACAAAGAACGATGTAAATTGTTTCAATATGTAGAAGCATAAATTTGGAAACAAAGAGTCCGAAGTATAAGCATTATTTGCGGAAATTACGTAGATATCTTTACTACAATTTGCAACTCATATTTTTAGATCGCGATATTAAAATCCGCGACAACTGGTGCCGCATCAGTACTGGTGGTTGTGCTAATTTGTTTGAAGGTTATTGTTCACCATCTCCTTTAATTAATAAAACTGATTCTGGTAGTTAAGAAATGCTTTCTATTAAGCATTTTTTGCTTAGTTTGTATAGCACCACCATGACCTCCTTATTTTATTTCTAATGCTTCTTACGTCTTGTTAGATTTCTTTTTTTTACAATGTAAAAATCAAATATAACTGAAATATATCGTAATTAGAATATACCTCTTTCTTTCACTTTTTTTTATTTTTCTTATAGGAATATTATTCCAGTCTTCATCACTGAATAATCAGTTCATCATAATGAAGATAATAAACTTTGTGTTTACCCTCCATTAGCAATTTTCGTACGTCGTAGATAGCACAAGCACTTTTGATCTTTTTTATATAGTGAAAATAATATTTAGTTTTTAATTTAATGCTTATATTTTCTGGTGTTGATGCGCTTTCTCCAGTTTAAACGACATTCTTTAAATATCCTGTTAGTGACAGAATGTCTATGTTTATGTTTATTAAAAATTTATTTTATTAAAAATCGGCATTTAAATTTTGTATTGGAAAAAATCATCCTATTTCATCTCTCTTTTTTGTTTATTGTTAGATTTATTTGTAGTTTTTTTTCATGCACAAAGTATTCTGGTACAAATAAATTGCATTTATTATCAATTTTTTAAATAAAACAACCAATATATTCTATTATATTAAATTGCATTTATTGTCAATAATCACAATCTATCTAATTTTTAAAATCGCTATCTAATTTTTTTTTTTTTTTTTATGCTACAGAAGAAGTAATTCTGCTACACATTCAAACGATATTCATTGAACAAATGAGCAATGCATCAGAACAAGAACGAATAAATTCATCATAAGTAATTTTGAATGCAATTATAAAAAAAGATTAATTTAATTCTTTAACATGTCTCAAAATCTAAAAAGATTAATTCTTTAAGAGCTTTTTATCGTGAACAAACATCTGCGCCAATGTCTCGACAATCATCACTTACCAGAACAAGCAATAAGACAGAAAAAAATTAACAAAGAGGAAATTTAAAAGAGAATTGAATTTCAAAATATTTTGAGTAACTAAATATAGATTAATAATGAAAATTATTTTTTTTTGCATATAGACATTATGTAATTTCTTGCGATTAAAAAAATTTTGAAAAAGAGAAAATTTAAATTTCTTTTGCAACTAAAAAAAAGAGAAAATAATTAGATCAAAATCTTACTAAGAAAATCTTACTAAGAAAAGTTAAATTTTAATTTGCTAATGATAATATTATTGTCTTAATTTAATTTATCATATCATTCATTTGTTTATACGTAAAAAAGGATTTATAAATTCCATTTGGCATAATAAAAGATAACATCAACCTATGTTCATTAAAATAAAATAATGAATCTTTCATAAGAGCTTTACAATAAAGTGACTAAGTACAGAGCAATTGATTGATCTTGCATTGATAATAATTCCAGATAATTATTTTTGATGCTATTGGTCACATAAGTCGTACTCACTTTATCAAACTAGTATTTATCAATAATTACTTAAAAATAACAATTAATATATGAATGAATCGTTGAAATTTTCATAAAGAGAAACTAAGGCCGTCGAACAATATGAAACAATGGGAATTATCGAATAGTTTTGTGAATTCAAAGAAAGGTCAGGGGGTAATGAGTTGTTTATTCTGAAATTACATCTACTTAGAAGAATCTTACTTAGGCTAGGCTTACTTACTACAAACTAAATGATATAAGTGAAATATAAAGAAAAAAGTTGCACGAAGAATTCATTATATTTCGTTTTATTGACATACAGGAATTTTTTTACAATAATTAAAATCTAGAAAGGATATTATGCATATATGTGCATGTGCATGTAATGCAAAGATAAAAATTAGAAAAGTCTTGTTATTGAAACCTTGGTTTGCATAAAACAGCAAATAATTCAGGTATATTTGTCATATACTAAAGAAATGTTGAAAAATTCTGCGTGAATATATGAATAACAATTAAATATATTTTTTGCGTGCTAAATAATTATATTCGTTTTGAACTTTATTCAAGTATTAAATAAAATTGAAAGAAAATAGGAAAGAAGTAAAGGAATTATTTTTCTATTATTCATTGATATTTCTCTCAAAAAATAAAGGATGATTAAGTTTTTCATTTTAAATATAACCCAAAGATAGTAAATGTTTTAAAGAATTTCAAAGATTTTTTTTCATATTTGTCTTATAACTTTCTTTTATCTTTGCCTATTTTTTCTCATCTTTTCTAGGTTTTTGATGAAAAGTGTTTGCTCATTTAGGATGTCAACGATATGTCATCTTTGGGTGAGTCTCGAATGACCAATGTCGTGAAACGCCTGCTTGTGGCACAACTTAATAGTAATTTTTTGTCGGCTTCCTTTATGTTTTTCTTTTATTTTTTAGCATTTAACTTCTATCTTTTTTTTCATTTTTTCTGTTTTTTTTTTTTTTTTTATTTCTTGTTAACATTTATGTCATTCACCGGATGCCATGTAGAAGAAAACAGTACAGAAGGTCCGAATCTCTTAGAATGATTTGTTGATTTAGATGGAAAATATTTCTGCTTTCTTTTTTTCGCCATTTTTTCTCCTTTGTACCTGTACTTTTTCTCCATTTTTTTAGATTAATGTTATATTTTCAAGTAGTTATCAGAATTTTGTTCCTCTAAATGTAAATATTAGAAGTGAACATAATACTTCTTGCGTATTTCTCAGAATTTTGTTTGTTGAACTAAATTAGATATATGTAAAATTCAGCTATTATTTTTTAGACTATCGAATCGACCAAATATAATAGTTATTATGACGTATGATCAGGATACTGAATTAGGCTCAGTGGAAGTCTCTTTGTATTTTATTTTATTTATGCTTATTATGTGTTTATATTTTATTTTATTTATGCTTATTATATATTTAATTATTAGTGAAATGATTATTTCACTGATAACTTTCAGTCGAATTTATGATTTTTTTCTACATCGAGGAATCTCTTTTGGATTTATAACCTTTTTAGATGAGACATCTTGAATGTTAGTAGCAATTATTTGCTGAATTTTAACATAATTTAAAGATAACATTGATTTGCTGAATAGAATAATTATGTATCTGTTTATGACAAAAACCGTACATCTACTGAAAAGGGGGTAACATTCAAATCAGGTTTTGTTTCAACACCTATATGTTGACTAAGTCGAAGTTCGATATTGACCGGAATCTATGCGCACAATCAACATGCATTTGCCAATAATCATAACTGTTCAGGGAATGATAGAATTTCATAACCAAATTCTTCCTAGAATTTAGAATTTGGTTAAGAAATTTTGAGCTATTCCCTACAAAATTAGAAAGCATTGTCCACTTGAATCAATTGCATTAATGATTTGAATGTTAACTGGAAAATCCGCATATCCGTCATCTAATTTTTTTTTTTTTTTTGAAACAATAAACACTGTTGCTATATTGAGTGATTGATATAGTTCAAGACCAAATTATCTTACTAGGCAAATGAGAGATATTTGTAATAGTTAAATTTTTTGAATTTATGTGGAGACTGATAAACTACAATCGATGAAATAGTTAGCAGAAATATTAATAAATGAAGTGTAAATGAACTTCATGAATAATTAGTAAATTAGGCGAATGAATTCAAGCTCAGAACATAGCAACATCAAATGTATTTTTAGAAATAATAATAATATACTTCGAAAAAAATATATTTGCTGTATATCTGAAAATAAAGCAAGTTATACAATAGCATATTTTGGTAAATATTTAAACAAATATACCGGTTGATATATTCTATCTTTGCGACTATTGGATGGAACGAAAAAGTTATGAAGAATTACCTTTTTGTGCAGAATTTCAACTAATTCAATAAATAGATTTGACAGGTCTTGTCACTTTTTTCAGCAAAAGGTGTTTTTTTCTTTCTTAATGACTTTGATCAGTAATTAAAATTTCTGAATTAGTACATGTTCCAAGATTATTTCATCGACTTAATTGCTAACAATAGGATAGCATTTATCGGCAATTGCATAACAAAGACCCGTTCAAGTTATATGTGACTGTGGTATCATTGGAAGCAAATCTTTGTCGTGGAAGATCAAATAGTTTAATTATTAATTCTGGGAGAGGGTAATAGTAGAGATACGTGGAGTAACGGAGAAATACAACAATCCTTTATTAACAGAATAGACAATACGTTAATAGAGAACAATTAAAATTGAACTCGTCTGGTTCTTGGTAACAAAAAACACACACTCAACTTTCAATAAGTGTGACTCTTATATAGCAATTATATCCTACATGTGTTAAGATATGAAAGTGACTTATAAATAGACATTTCTGTACGCTGGATAAATTGTCTAAACATGATGATGACTTAATTTAACAATAGTGGATTGAATGGAAAGTACAATAGATTACATTATGATGAGTGGCTACTATAATGGGTCGCAATAGATGTTCATAGTACATGAATTGAGATAAGATCAAAGATCAGTTAAACCATTACGATGAAACGTAAAAGACATCAAGAGACTGCTATACTAAGCATTAAGATTTATTCAGTGCTTTGCAAAATTAAAATCCGCGATATGAAATGTGAATCACACGGTTCTATATATCTGAGTATCATACATCAATGATTTTTGAATAACGGTTGTATATGTCTGAGTATCATACATGCAGTGAATTGTCTCAAGCATATACAGCCCTGATTCGCAATTCATGGATGTATGCTACTCAGATATATACATCCGTAGTTCACAATTCATGTATGTAAGATATTCAGACATATACAGCCGTATTCAATATTAATGAGTATATGAGGCTCAGGCATATACAACTGTAATTCACAATTCATGGATGTATGCTATTCAGACATAATCAACCTCGATTCAATATTCATGAGTGTATGACAATCAGATATATATGACAGTGATTCTGAGTTCATGGATGTATGATATTCAGACATATACAACCGACTACACTAGTTGTTAGTACTGCTTGGATCTTGAGGTAAGTTTCAACAATTATATCTCTTCGTTCTTCTCCTTTTTTCTAAATGATGAACTTGTATCCATGGTCATCGATGTCGAAATTGCTGGATAAACTAAAAATAAATGGACACTGATGTGGAATTGTTTTAAGCTACAGTTTAAATTTCATTTACAGCTAATCAATTAACCTGTTTAGTAAAAATATATCATGTGTCTGTTTCTTTTTTGCTTTTGTTATTATTAATTAAAGACATATTGACTTTTTAGCTGCTACAAAAGGCATTTTTAGGCATGTAATTCATGATAGTTATGCAGCTGATTGTTTCATTTAATTTTTCCTCTTTTTTTGATTAAAAAAGGGATGGAATTTTAACCTAAATTCATGACCAATCGTACTAGAAGTATTGTAACTGTCCATACTCATTCATTCAAAATTATCATCAAAGAAATCATGTTTAACTATCATTTAATTTTTCCTCTTTTTTTCATCCAGCCCACTTATAGCCCCTATTTACATCTCTCCTTTACCATTTCTTTGGCTTCTTTTTCCACTGCATTTTTCTACTCTTTTTCTTATCTAAGGATCCAAAATATAATTAGATATTGTCCATGCCTAACCAGAAAGAAACTGTTGTTAACTGTCTTTTAATTCCAACAAGTGTTGCACATGGAAGAAACGATTAACACACTGTACACATTCCGGAACTGGGCATCGAATTTTTTAATGAAAGAAGGATAAATGAATTTTATTTAATATCTATTTAAGTATTTTTAATATGTCTTGAAAGAGAAATGAATGAGACTGCTGTTGGTCTATATCATTCAAAATTTATGATAGTACGGAAAAAGATAGTCTTTAAACAGTCTTCTACATCGCAAAAAATTTTTTCCACAAAGATAAAGTTGATCGGAAGCATTTGGATGAATCTTAGCTCTATTGTACGAACAGTTGTCATATTGTCGTTCATTACCGTTCTTGATTGTTGACTGTAGTAGCATAATATCGTGAAATACTACATAAATGTTAATTATGCTTAGTATAGCAATCCATTGATGCCTTTTACAATTCATTTTTTAACTAACCTTTGATCATATATCAATTCACATACTATGAGCATCTATCATATAATGCCTATTGCAACTGATTATTTTTCTGTTACTCGACATATTTATACCCATTATAGTAGCCACCCATCATAATGTCTAGATGTAATACATTGATAAAGAACAATTGAAATTGTGCTTTCTTTTGTAATATCCATTGTAAAACCTATTGTTAAATTAACTCATCATAGTATCTAGACAATTTATCTTTCGTACAAAAATGTCTAATTATAAGTCACTCTCATATCTTAACACATATAATGTAAGATATAATTGCTATATAAGAGTCACACTTATTGAAAGTTGAGTGTGTGTATTTTGTTACCAAGAACCAGACGAGTTCAATTTTAATTGTTCTTTATCAATATATTGTCCAATTACTTTTGCTAATAAAGGATTTGTTGTATTTCTCTGCTATCCCACTTATTTACACCTACATTCAACGAATCTTCTTGCGATCAAAAATCTCTCTCTAATTGAACTATCAAATTTTCCATTACAAAAATTTGCTTCCATATAAGGTCTAATATATATATATATATATATATATATATATATATATAATTTTTCGATTTTGTAGGTTGCATTTGTTCATTTTGGTTCATTTGGCATTTTGGCAAAATGGTAATCTTTTTTTTTTTTTCTTTTTGGTTGTTTGTATACGAATATAATGACCTAAACAATAACACAAAAGTAAATTTTATACGATTTTGTTACATTTCTGTGATTTTCATTTACCAAGATCCTTTGCAGGTATGTGACGCTGGAGCTCTTTATAATGTGGCGATATAACAGCAACTTCGCAATTTCAAACAGCTATAAATTGTTATTTGTAAACATTTGTTGAACTGGTGTATAATTTGTATTGTGGAAGCGTGTTTTTACTTAATCGTAACGTATCACCTGTTCCATATTTGTCATGGTTATAGATGTCTGAATATCATGTATGCAATGAATTATGAATCAAAATTGTAATCATTTGAATAGCATAAATCCATGGATTGTGAATCACGGTTGTATTCGTCTGAATATCATACATGGGCTGTGAATCATGATTGCATATGTTTGAATATCACACAATGAATTGTGAATCATGTTTGTATTCGTTTGAACATCTTAAATTCATGGATTGTGAATCTCGGCCGTATTTGTTTGAATATCATGCATGTGATGAACTTTGAATCTCGTTTATATTCGTTTAAATATCATAAATCCATATTCATAGATTATTAATCACAGCTGTATATGTCTGAATATCCTACATTAATGGATTGTAAATCACGATTATCACGATACATCAGAATATCATGCATGCAATAAATTATTGTGATTCAAGGTTGAACTTATCTAAGTATCATACAAGCAATGAATTGTGAATCACTGTTGCATTCGTTTGAATATCAAAAATTCATGCGTTGTGAATCACCATTTTTCCATAATTATTTATATCATATATCCATGAATGGTTATTGATGTTTAATATGTATTCACAATTCATGGATGTATGATACTCAGACCGTTATTCACTATTCATTATGTATGATACTCAGAAATATACAATCGCGATTCACAATTAATGGATGCTATGAATTTATTTTTACAATCAATAAGATCAAGATAATATCAATAGAATAACTTTCATTATGCAGCAGATATTAATTTCTTTTCCATTTTGCTTGAAACTTTATACCATCTTATATCTATGAGAAGAAAATGTGATTATATTTTGAACACAATGGTTTCACAGCACAGAATGTTATAAAGGGTGGTAAACAAGTATGATGTCCTCTTCTTTCTTCACTTTTCAAATATACTAGTAGCAAAATGTATCAGTTATTTTTTCATGAACTTGCTCTAAGGTTTGAAGTTTTTATTTTTTTCGACTTGATATAAAAGCGGCACAGGATATAATTTTATGCTCAAAAAAGATATCATAGGCTCTTTTATGCTCAAAAAAGATATCATATTTACAAAATATGTCCAAAACGTCTTGGATATCAAATACACCTTAAATTCAGTTCGTCCTTATACTTCTTTAGCATTTGAAATTGACCTCTCAGTGATGTGTCTCGGTGTCTCAAGAAGGAATTTTCTGGAAGCCTTATAAATTGTAATATGTAAAAACACTACTTTGGTTTTAAGCGACACTATGGTAAATGGAAGCGACATTCTTTTCATTCTTTTTCAATAACCATCGTTGCTTTTAGTTTTTTAGTAAATCTGTTCAGTTTAATAGCAGTGAACCAAACTGGATCAGTTGAAGCTTGTGTTTTCACTTGGTTAGCTTGTTAAGAGTAGCTATTAAATTATTAATCGGATTTATTTAATCTGAGGAGACAATGAAAGATAAAACAAATTAATTCATAAATATCATTTTATAACCAATGAAAAACCACAGAGATAATTCAATATTGCTATTTTGACCTTTTCATGCAAAAAAAAAAACCTGTTTAAGGGTAAAATTAACTGTTGAGCCTTGAACCAAAAAGTTATTTAATGGAAGATAGTTGTAAAAAAAAGTTTTGAAATTAGATTTCTTCTCTGACTAAAGCAGATGTATGTTCCTGAATTTCTGTTTGCATATTTTCATGTTGCCTATATATTTACATTTGTTCTATCTATCTGTCTGCCATTTAAAATAGTATTTTTTTAAAAGATTTTTTAGAATATTTTAAAATTTCCGCTTCCTTTTTGTTTTCAAACAGCTGAAATTTTTTGATTAACATCTTTTCTCATTAGGACTACTGCATTTTTTTATTTTTTTTTGTCATCACTCTGTGATGACAAAAAACTGTTATGAAGTTTTATCACCAAGAGTGATATGATAGCAGTGATGACAAAAAATATGCTGGAACTCAAGCAGCTTACAGTGCTCTCTATTTACAGTAACTTTAGTTTTATAAATCCTAATACTACGAAAGCATTTTGTCAATGATGATGAATGACTCAATACTGCGAAATCATTTTGTTGGTCACATGGAGAACGAGTTAGTGCTGACCGTATCCTAGAGCTATTGTCTCTGATTTCAAAATTGCCTTTCAATTGGGACTGTTACTGTCAATTTTGACAGCAAAATGTTATTTATATTCTATCCGTTTTAAATTTTGCTTATTGAAAATAAAGAGATTTTCAGAAGCGACGGATTGAGAACAGAGTAAAAGCAATAGTTCAGAATGTGCGTTTGTGTGCCAATAACATGTTCTCACCATAATTTTTTCTTTAAATAACTTTAAATGATACCAATTTTTATTTTTGAAGAGTTTGAAAATGGTGCTATTTGTCGCGGATTTTAACATCGCGAAGCACTAAATAAATGTTAACAATGCTTGATATCTTTTACAATTCATCGTAATACTCATCTGACCTTTGGCCTCATATCAATTTTTATACTATGAGCATTTATCATTTAATGCCTATTGCAACCCATTATAGTGGCTGGCCATCACAATGTCCAGACAGCCCATTATACTTTTCTTTGTGATATACATTCAATCCATTGTGAAACCTATTGTTAAATTAAGTCATCATCATGTTTAGACAATTTATCCTTTGTACAAAAATGTCTAATTATAAATCTCTCATATCTCAACACATAAAAGTAAGATATAATTGCTATATAAGGGTCACCCTTGTTAAAAGATTTTAATATACGTGTAATTTGTTGCCAAGAACCAGACGAGTTCAAATTCAATTGTTTTCTATCAACATATTATTCTATTACTTCTGCTAATAAAGGTATTGTTTATTTCTCTCTCACCCCATTTATTTACACTTACTCCAATCAATCTCCCTACGATCAAAAACCTCTCTCAAAATTATTAATTAAATGACCAAATCTTCTACGACATTATTGCTTTTTCAGAAAACGGCGCAAACCAATTGTTCATAGTGAGATGTTTTAGTTGTGCCATTATTAATAATAATCATATCTGATTAACACCTACTTATCATAGAGATCTAAAATATCGTGCTTTATGCGTAGGATGTGATAGAGGAAAGTTTATTACTTATGTATCCTCGTGATTATTCTTATACCAATTTTCATTTGTGAAAAAAAAAAAAATTACCATTAGCAACCACTAACAAACTTCTTCAGGAACGAAAAACAATTTTAGCAAGGAATCAGTTTGATGATTGATGTTTTCAGAAAGCAATTCTTAAACACTCAAAAGTCATTCTTTACTGATGTTTATTTATCCCAGCTGAATAAGCAATGAAACCCACGTTGGCCAAATTAAGTTTATTTGTCATTTGTCTTAAGAATCTGTTATTTCACATTCATATTTTGCACTCATTCAATTTCTCAAATTTTATAATCACACCTATACTACTAAATATCAAAATCTGTTATCAATTCCTCAATATTATTTACTTTATTGCAAATGCTAGAACAATAAGATAATATGCGGTAGATTTGTTAGAACAGCAAGAATTTTGTAAAAAGTGATATATTCGTTATGAAATTATGAAAAAGTGATATATGTTAGAATCTAATATATATATATATTATATGAAATTATGAAAAAAGTGATATGTGTTAGAATCTAATATATATATTATATGAAATTATGAAAAAAGTGATATATGTTAGAATCTAATATATATAGAGGAAATAAATTATTTTTAGGATAATTTCAAGCAGTGAGTTGCAGATAATCCAGCCGAAATGCGGTAGGCTATCTCTTTGTCTAAAAAATTGAACTCTTACTTATAATACGAGTGGTAAATAAATAATTTTAAATTACTTTCAAAATTGATTCCGTTACAAAATTAATTTCGGAGTAATTTTATTTGATCTAAATCTAATAAAAAAAATCCCGAAAAAAGTTAAAATTTAATTTCAGGATAGTTACATGAAAAAGATTTCAGATTCCAATATCCACTTGTTTATTTTTTAAATCGGAAATAAGTTGCAATGCAAAGCAACACAAGGAAGCGATAAAAGAACCTAACTGAAAACAATTTAAAATTAACTATCAACTCAAATTCACTTTAAAACATGTTGAAAGAATATTCACTGAAAACCCGTTATCTTCAAAACTGCTTTGATGATAAATTAGAAATTTAACATGTTTGAAAGTAAAAAATGCTACTTATTTTTTTGGTATTTTTTAAGAAAAGATAAGGGAAACAGAGTTATTTAATAAATGTGTAAAATAACTAGGCGATGAAGCTAAATGAATTTCGATCACTTAAAATAATTACTAAATGCACTTTTAGTCTTTAATCTTTAATCAGATAGTAGTCTGATTCATATACTTCAACTTAGTTTGAAATCAAACTTTAAAACTTCTGCCACAATAATTATATCTGATTCCTACTTCATTGCCTCTTCTTATCTGTTTGAAAAATTTATGAATTTGTATTTTTTCAAAATAATTGGATTGATAAGGGAAAATAGCAATTATGTTTTTTAAGACAATGGCGGGAGTAAATTTTCGTCTTAAAATTGTGACTTATTAAATTAAAGTGATAAGCTGCTATAGTCTTTGACTACCTCTTATTAGTTTTAGGAATGATAATTTGATTAAAACGGTTTGTGACTTTAAAAAACGAATGCACCTTTATTACAATTCATTGACCAAATAGCAAATGATAGCAATTTATAAAATTACTTCCTCAGGTATTTATAAAAGTAAATATATATCATTTTTCATAAAATTAATGTAAAATAATGTAAAGGATGATATATTATCTAATCATCCTTAGGGTGATATTCGTCATATCATCTTAATCAAATTTTATTCTGATTGATTTATGTCTTTCTCCATTAGTAAAATCAAAGTTGACTCTGACTGCTTCTTAGCGTTTTTTCTTTCTTTTTTTTTTATTTAAAATAAAACATACCCTCATTTGTCAACGTTATAAACAACCAGTTGAATTTTTTTCAACACATGAAATTTTTTCATGTGTTCACCATTTTTTTTTTCACACGCAAACACTAGCAGGAAGCAGAATTTAAACAATGCTCGTATCATGCTGATCCATCATCCAATAATCATTTTTTTACTACCGATTAAGGATAGTTGATAGAAAAAAAAAAGTTTTTTAGATATGGCCTTGACCGTTATAACAGTCCAGGAGAGCAAAGCCATGATTTCATCTGATGATAGATCTTATAGCAATTTCTGTTCTTTTATCAAAACTTTCTCAGATTTTAGTTTATTCAAAGAAAGGGTTCTAGATAGCATCCAACGAAAGTTGAAAATATTTCCACGTTTACTTATTATAAAAAGTTTTTCAAAAAATATTTATTAAGTATAAATTTTGTAACTTTTAAATGTATTACTTCTTTAAATAAAGGAAATAAATTGACAGACCATAATGTCGGCAATTTAGTTTTGGAGATATCATTGTCTATGCTTCAAAATTAGAAGTTAGTTCAGAATTCTTATACTGATGTTTATATATTATACATAGCGTTAAAAAAAACAGTACCATAGTGTCATGACCTGCAAAAATTTTTTACACCCTTTAATATTCAACTTTTTCTGGATTCTACATGAAGAAAAGCAACAATTGGTGGTACGATCCTTAAAGATTGCATTGGAAATTGTCGAATGATGTTTATGTTCTTGCTGCTTTCACTTTCCTGTACTTATTATTGTCAACATTTTTTAAGAAATTGGCTTCCAATTGAATGAATAGAAATTTGCGTTAAAGCAGTGTGGTTGAAGAAATTTGGTTTTCAACAATAATTAAATATGATTTAGCACTACTTCTTCATTATTGATATAATTCACTATACGTTCATTTGTATAAGCTTTGCTGCATACTGGAATACTGTACTTGTTATCGCAGATCAGAAGGGAAATAGAAAAGAAGAAAATTTCTTTTTAAATGGTTATTTTTTCAATTTTTAATAAAAAGTAATTAAGTAATTTAACAAATGCATTTGAATGAAAGATGATTCGAAAAAATTTTCAAAATTTCCAGAATATTTTACGTTCCTACTACTTTATTGTTCAGAAAAACATCATTAATTTTAAAAGTTATGAAAACATTACTAATTTTAAAAGTTATATGCCCTGTTGTCGAATCTCTGGTTAGCTAGTTTCCTGTTTTTTGACCTAAACTTTACAGCTCTGATACAATGATCATTAGTCCCTTGGATTGTAAATCATTTTTACATTATTAAGATTCAAAGATCATTTTGAAGGAATATTGGATAAGTGAATAATTGCTAAAAAAATTATTTAAGAGAACAGCAGGGATAGGATAGTATCAAGAGAAAAGAAATTTTTTTTTTTGGATTATGAATATGAACAAAATGTGGGAAACGATTACATATTCAGTTATAAATTGATACAAGAAAGCAATTAAGGTAATGATATTTTTGAAGGAATTAATAATCCTCTTTGATAACTATTCTTTTTTCGTGAGTGTTCGTCCTTGCTGAACAGTTCCTGCAATCAGGTTAACAAATCAGAAAACAAAATTCGACAATATTTAAAAATTACTTCGTTTTTACCTTTTGTCTCACTTATTTTCTAGTTGTTTTCAAAATCTCGCTCTTTATCCAAACGAGAGGAATCATTATTTTTGATTTCCTGAAAATCCTCTTATATTTTTGCATGCACAGTTATAGTTAAAAGTAAGATAGTTAAAAGCTATAATAGTTAAGTAAAGAAGATGAAAAATTTAAGAAAAGTATTTTAAAATATTTGAGCATTTCCTCAAAATTGTATCTCTTTTTCTCGCTTATATGAGAACTTATTCGTCTAGGAATTTGTATGGATTTGAAATATAGGTAAACGAAATTTCAAAACTTAATATGAAAAGCCTATAAATACAAAACTAAAATATACGGTGACCTTAAAAAATGCCACTATTTTTAAAAGTCTCCGAAACTGAAAGTCTGTGATAATATCATTCAAAAAACAACCATCATGTATGAAGTTGGCTCAAAAAAGAACTAAATAAGTATTACCATGTTACACCAATATTCAATCAAGCCTTTAAGAATCATATTTCTCTCATTTAAATTTAGTTGTTTATTTTTCAATCAAGAAAATAATTACTGTAATAGCAGAATTTGTTATAGTGATACCAATTACAACATATGCAAATATTACTTCTTGCAACACAGAAAGCATCAACTTCACCACTAGAGCTATACCTATTGAATCCATTAGCCAGATAATATTTGTGCTTAATTTATTGAAGCAACCTTGCTGGTGCATTCTAAAAAAATGAAATATTATCAGGGCAATGAGTTCTTTCGATACAATATTAGTTTTCGAGATTTTTTATTATTGCATTTTTTTTTATTATTGCCATGTTTTATATATATCAAAGGAGAAGTGTTCAGCACAGCAAATCTACATAGTTCTGTCATATTATCCATCTACGGTTTTGATCATTTGTTCGAGGAAGCTTGCTTCCTCTATTTACATCACATAGCGAATGAAAAACTAATTTCTCATCCAAATCAGCTTTGCAATTTATTTCAAGCCTTTAGTCACAATAGTGAAATTTATGAAAAAATATAAGTCCAGAAGAGCAAACTTTTCTTTGGAGCAATTCCTTTTGGTGTTCGAGCAACAAGATAAAGAAGCTGAATTCATTTTTTCTTCATCATTTTGTGATTTCCAAATATCTGCCTGATCTAGCATTATTTTTAATTCATCCTCGATCTGCAATTTGCAAATTGTTGATACTTGCAATAACTTCAACACATGATTCAAAGATCGTGTATCTAGTTTCAGAGTAGTTCTCTCTACGATCATTTTTACCGGATCATAATAGTGAATTATTTTTTTCTGCATCCACTCCGTGTGATTTCCAGCAAAACCACAACACTGCATCCTTCTTTGAATATCATCTACCGTATGCATAAACTTTTGCAGATCATCATCTTTCAATAACGTTCCTATGCCAGCGATTAACGTTGATGACACCTCGGATGAATTTAAACCTATTGCTACTGTAATTGTAATAATCATTTAATATTTTAACTATTGTCAACAATATAACAATTATATAAGCCATCTCGTCATCAGTACTTCTACGAAGTTCATTTAGTTAATAAATAATAATTTGCAAATTTAGGTAAATTTATTGATTGCTGCAATTTTTTGATTTTTTAACATACTTTTTAACTTATATTATTATAATTTATTGTGTTAAGCGATCAACTTTGAGAATGGGATGTTTTAAAGAGAAGCTTAGTGCACAAATGAAAGGGCCTGCATTTGACAACTTCAGTCTGAGCATGCAAAAAGGTCAGCACAGTTTTTCAGGAAGATATTGAGGGAGGAACAATTATTGTGTAGGTGAATGATGGGAAAGGTCAATGTGGAATGCATAATATGACATTGCTGAAAAATTGTGACATCAAGTGGCAACAAAACTTGCGATATGATGGCTTCAAATTAGAAAGATGTGTGGAACAGATACTTTTACTGGTGGAAAATTGTGAATTAACTAACGTGATGCAGATATGTACGTCAACAAAAAAATAGCAAAATCTTTTTACGTAAGGATTGTCTTCTGTATTATCATTTTGAGGTGGATTATTTGAATAGACTAACACAAGATCTTCAATCAAAAACAAAAATTTCGAATTTAATTAGGGATTTAAAAATCCAATTAATGTAAATTTCTTTTCATTATATAATTACTTACCGAGAAGTAAGTAAAACAACAAAAAAAGGAATGAGAAAGCGAAGTCCACAGCTATTGATACGCCACAGAAAGCATATTCCTTCTTGATAAAAGTTAGAAATAATATAAGTTGTACTGAGATTAGAATTATTTCCATTCCGCAAAATACGTAAGTAAAAGAACCAAGGCACTTTATCAACTGAAAATTACGCAATTTTCGAAATATCATATACATTTAAACGTTATAAAAAGCAAGACAGATATTATTGCGAGCATTGGAAGTAAGTCGAGCACTGGACAATGAAATAAATGAATGAGATAAAACTATAGGTAGATGGATTGATAGATACTTTCTAATAATGATACGTCCGGGATAGGCAAAGATTAAATATCATTTTTTTATTTTTTGCTTAGAAAAGCTGCTTCAAATCATACAATTTGAGCACTGATTGTAGGCTCTGCAACAGTATAAATTTGATTTGCAGGTTGTACATAATTGATAGCAAAATTCAGTGATATAAGTATAACTGCTATGCATCTAAAATGGGCTTTTTTTTTTATTAGCATTTACTAATGCTAAGATAGGAAAGCTTTTGATATTCAAATATAACTTTGCTTAGCATTCAATTTAATGTAAGCTGAAAAACGCTTACATTAAATTTATTACGTTTTCTTATCGAATTATATTTAGTGCAATGTATTGTTTCATGTGCTTATTGAATGTAAAATATACACATAACTATTGCAGATATTCATGCAGATTCTCAAAATGTTGCCGAGGAGTACAGAGATCGGTAGATCTTCTAATATCTTTTGGATCTTTTAAAATCTTTTAGCTTGAAGATGGATTTACGCAGAATTTCTGAATTAGTAAGAACTACCATTTCGTTTTGCAGTAGATCTTAACTCATAAAGTGGATTCAGTTACCAAACTTTTTAAAAACAAACGTTAATATGCGACAAGTAATTGTAAAGAATATTGTAAAACGAAACAGTTTGCTTGGACACTTCCCGTTTCTAAACGATTTCCTGCAATGTGCAATAAAAAGAAATTTTCTGTAACGACAAAAATGAAGGTTTAAAGAGTGTTAGGGATGTAGGGAATGTCATGCACAGATATATTCGAGCATCGTATCTCATTACTTATTAAGACTATTGCTTTACAAAGCTTATTTTATTAACTGGCCGAACAATAAATTATATTACAATAGCAAGTGAATGCTGTCTTAGGTATTTCTCTAATATTTATTATACCCACATTATTGTTCGATTCGGTTATTTAGAAAAGATAAAATTCAAGATGCGACTTCACTAGATTCTTCAATGAGTGGAATTTTGTAATTAGTTATGTCTGCCGGAAACTTCAGCATCCATGAGATAATATTATCATAAAATGCTAAGCCCGAATGAGGACAAATGTTTCGCATGACGAAAATTGGAGCAAAATAGAAACACCTTAGCGATAAATCTTCCTCACTTCGACAAAACTTGAAAGGGATTTCATAATGTTCCTGTGAATGGTCATTTGTTTCTAAAATTTAGCTAATTTGCGAATCATGATATTGGAAATAAAAGAATTCATTTTCCGACACACGGTTCAATTTGGCAAAATAAGATAGAACAAACAACTTCACGAATAAATTATATCGCATAACTTATAAACTGTCTGAATGGTAGGTAGTAGTAAGTAATGTTTAAAAATTTCAGATTAACGAAAGCCTTGACATCTTGAAAAGTTAAAGAATAATCTCAAAACTTTAAAACCGTTAACTAATTAAAGTTACACTTTTAATCTACCCTTTTATTCATTCATTATTCAATAACAATTAATTTGCGCAATATCAGATGAAGATTTGATAATCTTTAAATATTGCTTTCTATGCATTAGTTTAGCCGATCTATTTAATCAACTTATTTTGATCATTGGATGGAAAAAAGGAACTGAATTCTATACGACCAGAAATCATGCATTATTAGCACATGACCAAATGTTCGCGCATCATTTAGTGACCTCGATAGTGCTTTTATTTACAAAATGACAATTATGTTTAAAGGAATAGTTGTGTGATGCCTACTTGGCTCTGGAAGACACTTTATATTTAATGAAGGAATTTTCATTGTTTTGTTCGAAACTAAAGCTGAAATGTAATGTTTGCAATAGAAAGAAAGTAATGCAAAAAGAAAGAGTTGGAGAAAATGTTGTAGAATTTCACTGCTAACTTGCAGTGAATCACTAACAGATACGAAAACCATTGTTTTAATTCTTACGGAAGAGACGATCAAAAAAGGAACCTTGTTCGCTAAAAGTGAAAGAAATTTGGAAGCAACCTCTCAAATGTGGAACACAACTGAAATGAATATAGATTTCGAAAATCGAATTGTAGTAATATGCACAGATTTTACATAAACATCTTTCAGCATATATGTAAATAAAAAAGATTTCAAGTATATACCATATGACAATATAAATAATAATCGTAGACAGAGAGAAAATGCATAAACCCAGAACAAAGCCATAAATAGCAAAAGAAAGTGCCCAATATCGAAAAACTCAATAACTACAAGAAAAATAGAAAACCGAAGTGTAATATATAGGCAAAAAAAGAAGTTAAATAACAGAAATCCACTTTTATTGCATGTTAACGATATTCACTTAGTTTACACGGTGCAGTGAAATTCATTTTCAAAGTTTATTTACAGTGACTAGGAAAAACAATTTGAGAACACCACTGATAAATAATGGCGAAGTGAGACATCACAGAAGTTAAAAGTTGTTGTTATAGATATCGGCTCTAAACTCTTCTTGCAAAAAAAATAAAAATTTTATTTTAAAAATAAACTACTTTTTTATTGGAAAAATAATGGAAATTGGAATATCTGCAATAGTGAGATCATTTATTGAATTGCTGATCAGAATACATGGAATATCTTATTGCGATACGATCGTTCCAGTTAATGAAGATCTATTTGAATGCCGGTGTTTATTTGAGCTACAAAGTTTTAAATTTTACTTTTAAATTTAAAAGTTAATTATAATCTGAGTATAACAGAATTATAATCTGAGTATGAGTATGACTGAATTACAATCTGAGTATAACTGAATTATAATCTGAGTATGAGTATGACTGAATTACAATCTGAGTATAACTGAATTATAATCTGAGTATAACAGAACTAAAATCTGAGTACAACAGAATTATAATCTGAGTACAACAGAATTATAATCTGAGTATAACAGAATTATAATCTGAGTATAATAGAATTATAATCTGAGTATAATAGTATAACTGAATTATAATCTGAGTATAACTGAATTATAATCTTAGTATAACTGAATTATAATCTTGGTGTAACTGATTTATAATCTTTGTATAACCGAATTATGATCTGAGTATAATGGAATTATAATCTGAGTATAACTGAATTATAATCTTGGTATAATTGAATTATAATCTTGGTATAACCGAATTATGATCTGAGTATAATTGAATTATAATCTGAGTATAACTGAATTATAATCTGAGTATAACTGAATTATAATCTCTGAAAAGGGACAAAAATTATTTATGTAATAAGCGATGAGGGTGATTTTTTTTCTGCAAGAATTTTATTGACAACATCAATCTTGTTGAAAATACTAAAAATGGGATTATTTCATTTTTCTTTCTACCTTCCTCAAATATCTAAAGTAAAATAACTTTTGGATCTGCTGGGATTTTCTACTTATCAAAGAAAAAAGAAGTAAGATGTGAAAGAATATTAACCAAATCTTTTAAACTTGTTTCTGGAAAATTAAAGACAAGGTTTGCAATCTCTTTAAAAATTTTTATTTCAATCCTTCGCTACTGTAACAAAGGATTAACAATTGTGAGAATCGTAAAAAAGAATTGCTTGTTTCACAAGTAGCAATCAAGTACAATACCATTATGCAAGACATAAAAAATTTTTTTTAAATTACTCTAATGGTAAAATTTCTTACTCAGTAGTATCATTATAAACTGCTCTCAAGTGTATTTTTTGGATGTTATCAGTGCCAAATGAGGCTAATAATTTCGGACAGCGTATGTAGATATGGACATGAATTATTAGCCAAATTGCACAGGTAAGTGTTAAAACCGTATTTTTTATGTGGAAGGAATAAAGTTGAACTGAGCTGTTCCAGAAAAACGAATAAATTTTCCGTTTAATTTTATCATTTATGTTTTTTGTGCCGGCATTTCAAACGGGATAAACAGTTTTTAAAATCCATATTGTTTTAGTTCTTTTGAAAGTATCAAATAAGATAGAAATAGCATAGAAATACAAGATATAATTAAAAACAGGAAATGCTGAGAAAATGGGATATATTCGCAAGACGCGCAAATTATAGGAATAGAAAATTGTGCGATATAAAGACTAAACAGGCTAATAACCATCGTCGATTTATTTAAATGTATCATAGGAATATTTCATCATATTTTAATACCAAAATAAGAATTTAAGGGATTTTTTTTTCATTCCTTGTTTCTTTATCTTAACAAATGATAGGTAAGAAGTTGAAGCATCTTTTTTTCCACCACTTTAACTTTTTTTTTTAAATTTAGAAAAAAGCAATAGTTAACTTCATTGTGAACATAGTTTATTTTCAGAGCTGGTTGTTTCATTATTTTCTTCTATACAACTTTTTTCATTAAAAATTTGCTTACAATTGATAAAATAAAGAGAAAAAGTGAAGTGTTACGCCGACTTATTGTTATTATTATTGTTTAAATTAAAAGTTAATTAGGGTTACATATTGATATTAATTAGTAAATGAGAAAGAAAAACAAATTTGATTATTACTGGAATATTGTCAGATGGCAATTTCCGGCGGAACTATTACATTTCGTTTATTCGTTTTGTTTCGAATATTTTTCAAAATTATGCATTTAAAAGATACATATAAATGCTCTTCAGTCTTACTTTCATAATATTTTTCCGTTTTTTTAGAAAATATTAATAATATTAAAAACTTCTTAAAATTTTTTCTTTTCTTTGGGTTTCTAAATGAAAAAAAAAAAAAGAAAAAATTGGTGATAAATACAAATGTTAGCATAAATTATAAAGTTAAATAAGCTAAAGCTCTCTTAATACTTGTTGAGGTATATTCTCTCAGCATCTAATTATTAATATTTAATAGCACCTTTTAAATTTTCATTTCATAGCACGCAAACATTATCTAATTATTTGTTTATACTCGCGTTTTTTTCCGTATTAATTATAAATAAATAGGGAAATTAAATAATTCACTTATTATTTCATATTATATCTTGCTAACTTATTTCACTAATATATTTGCATACTTTTCAATTGTGCAATTTCTATTAATATATTGGGAACTGAACATCACGAGTATAATTAGTCAATTATTTCATTTCCTTATTTATATAAAAATTATTCCTAACTGTTTTTTGATTAGTTATTATTAATCTGCAATAATTCTTCCAAAAAGAAAATAGAAAAACTAAAAGAAAAATATTATATTATTTAGCGTTAATTATTACTAATACAATATTCAACCTATGATAATATGAACATATAAAAAATACATGATTGCAAAAAATAAAATTTCAATACATTTTAGAATTTTTCACAAAATTTGGTAACGACAATTATCAGTTGTGTGATATTCTAAGATATCAAAATGGATGCTGATATGCAAACACCGCTTGATTCGGCAACTCCTCCACCTCTTCCTGGTAGTAAAAATATCAAGAAAGCGATACCAACATTAGATTTTGAAACTATAGGATCAGATATGGTTGGACGGGTATTTTTAGTTTGTTTTCTTTTTTTATAATGCTGGATTAACTAGAATTTAAGTTCAATTTCATGCATTATTTAACTTTCTAATTCATATAAGCAAAAAATGTTAGAAAAAAAAAAAAAAAAAAAACGACAAAAAGTGTTATTTTTGAAGATTTATTAATTATAATTGAGTAATTTTCAATTAATAATTATTAAAGTTGATTGACTAAATTAAATTTTTTTTTTGAAGCTGAATAACTTTACTTACGTGTATTATTTCGACAAGTAGAATGAAATAATTTGATAAATAATATTGCAGGAACAACGATTAGGATTTCAAGAGCGGATAAACTTGATATTGGATCGTGAATGTACGCCGATTCTTTACGTTTATTTTGCTGGTACTGCTATACTTGGCGTTATTACTGTGGGTATTGTTGTTATTATTGGTTTACAATGTAATTGGAATTTTATTGCTGTAGAATGAAAATAAAAAAAATTGTGCCTTATTTCGGCAAGAGAAATAATTATTTAAGTTAATTTAAGTATCAACTGCCGGAATTGTTGTTATCAACATTAATTAATGTATAATCTTCAATATTTTTGCAATATCATATATCAGATACTTTTCTAACTTTTACAAATTGTTCATTCATTTAATCAAATGCATAATTTTTTGCATATTTTATTTTCTTTTAGTAAAATAAAACATAAACTATGACAAGTAAACAAATAATTAAAAGTTATTTGTTATAAAAAATCTGTCATCCGATTTATTCAAATCTTTTTATTTCTATCATCAACCTCAATATTGCCCAATTAATATTTTCGTTTTACTTCTTCTACCCTTGTATTTTATCGTTTGCTAATACCAATTTAATTTTTGAAAATTTCAAATAATTCGTTCCCTTCAAAACTTTACGTCCATTAATTATTTTTTTTTCATCTCCTGCCAGTGTTGCGATAATAACAATAAACTCAACTATTTATGATTTTCTCAAGCTTTTGCACTACTTTGTAAATTATTGCAATATTTTCTTTCATTCTATCAGCACTCTGAAATGTAAAATTCACTTGTTTATTCCAATTGTTCATTCCTTGAATAAACTTGTCTCAGATGCATTTCTCATCTTCTCTTTTTTTTCTAAACAGTTTAAAACACATTTTAGTTAAATAATTTAAAAATTGAAATAGAAATAATTTTTAGATATAGGCTGATGCTTCGATGTTGGCAAGATGATGTTTTTTTTGTCTTTAAGTGGAATCTTAATTAACTCTAATAAAGTCTAATATAAATAACCAAGGTATGGTTGCCAAAAAAAAAAAAAAAAAATAGACATGTAAGACATGTTCCTGCAGCTAAACAAACTTCCACAATACTATTGCTGACTGATCCAGAAAATCATTAGATGAGCACATAGATTAAACAGAATAATTAAACTACTAATTGATTCTTTTTATAATCATGATAAAATCATATGTAGTTTTCATAATATTATATTTCCTCAACGTAAAGATGTTTAACTCATTCGTTTTTAAACAATCTCTAGATATTATATTCAAGATATTATATTCCTGGTAGGAGCAATCAAAGATAAACTGACCGCGAGAGTTATAAAGTAAAGCAGGAGTATTTCCATAAAGTTGATGACAAAGCAGATTGCTGAAGCACAGACTGTTCAACATGATCCGGCTGCCAATAATAACATGTCTGAAATTCAATTTTTGCCGTCAAGGTATGCACTGTTTAGTATGATCGGCATACATTTTATCATCATTTTAACATTGTTAGAGAATTTATTTCATTAAAAAAAATTGTCTCATATAAAATTAAATCCTAAAAAATTACATTGATTATTTGTCTTTAAGGTCGATTACTACTCGGTTAACCAATTTCAATTCCTCCGGTCTTGTTTTATAAATTCCTTCTCTTTTTATTGCTCGATTTATTAATATTACGTCTTCCAAAAATAAAGGCATATTAGTCTTTTTACTGTATTGCAACTATTCGAATATCAACCAGACAATCTTTCACGACAAAATTTATTGGTGCCACGAGCCGGGACATGTCAAGCCACATTATCGCGAGCTTTCAACCGGCAAAGGAAAGGTTAGTCAGTTTTCTTAAAGAAGTAAATCAACTGGAGATCAAATTTCCAGATCCAAATATGACAATAGAAGAAAAGGAAGATTTTTATGTGATAAGAAAAAGAGTGTTAGAAGATAAACTTCGAAGAATCCAATTATGCGTGACTACGCTTGAATCTATCAACGATAAATGGTTCACATATACTCAACAAATCGTCACGATGAAAAGAAGAGAAGAAGAGGAAGAAAAATACAAAACAGTAATAGAAGGTGACCAAGGAATATTTCAATTATTACACGAAGGAAAGGAAGCTGTAATAACACTGACAATGCACAAGGATGAAGTCGACCAAAACTTAAAACAACTCTCAAAAGAGTTGACGAACAAACAAACAAAAGAAGAAGCAAAATTTACTCCTTCTTCAAATATTAATGTAAATCTTCCTCATTTATCGCTCCCTACTTTCGATGGAGACCCTAGACAATGGCGACAATTTTGGAGCAGTTTTAACGCAGCAGTCCACACACCAGCGATTCCAGAAATACAAAAATAGAATTACTTGTACTCATGTCTTAAAGGAAAGGCTCTACAAGCAATATCTGGATATGATATAGCTCCAGAGAATTATGAAGTCATCAGAAAACTGCTCAATGAAAAATATGGCGATCACTCAATAGTAACAACATTACTATACAACGAACTCCAATCAATTAAACGAAATGAAAGAGAATGGATTGGAACAATTGAAAATATAGAACGAGTACTGCGCCAGTTAGAAGCTCTAGGAGAAAGCCTCGAACATTCAAATATTGAAATCTTGATCGAGAGCAAGTTGCCATTATGGATATTAAATAAAATATATAAACATAAGAAGAAGGACATGCCTTGGTCAATTCTCAAACTAAGAAACTTTTTAACAAGTTTAGTTAATGTGAATGAACAGATCAGAAACTGTCAACATTCACTCACTCAGCTCAATATTAAATCTACAACTACCAAACCGGAACAAAAACAACGATACAATCCCGGAGGAACTTCAGCACTGTCGACAATAAAAGATAATCAAAATACTTCAAAAACTACAACAACAAAAAGACGACCATGTGTATTCTGCAATCAAGATCATTGGGACAGCGATTGCGTGAACTACACGACTCTCAATGCTCGACTTAGTCGTCTCAAAGTATTGAAGAAATGTACTATTCGTCTTAGAGACAGTCACAAAGAACAGAATTGTAATGTCAAAAAACAATGTTTTTATTGCAAAAGCTTACATAATAGTCTTTATGTAATAAAAGGAATTCACTTTCTTTAAAACAATACAATGTCTCAAAGAAATGAAGAGCAAGAAAGAATTGAACCTTCGAAACGAAAGGATTGTTCAACTTCCCTCTACAACTCGACATTAACAACTCGATCCAAACAGACAAAGGAAACTTTACTTTTATGTAAGGAGATAAAGGTTTTTAATCCATCACAACCTCAACTACAACAAAATGCCCTTGCATTATTTGATATTGGATCGCAACTCTCCTTCATCTCTAAAAAATTATCACGTCAATTAAAGTTAACCGAAACAAAAACTCAAATCATGAGAATAGCTCCATTTGGTATGAAAGAACCGAAATCATGTCCCACTGCTCGCATACAACTAAATGTGCTAACTACAGGAAGCGAAATCATACCATTACAAGCAAATATAATTGATTATTTAACGAACGAACTGCAGGTAGTGGAGACATCAAATGAACTTCAAATTCAAAATTTAACAAATTATTGGAAAAAACCTTATGTATTGATTGGAGCTGACTATTTTTTCAAATTTATTAGTCTACGAGAAATCAAGGAATTGAAATCAGGGCATATGTTGGTTCAATCAAAAGTTGGTCCTGTGATTGTTGGAAGTGGAGATATTAAGAAGCTTTGCAAGAACGAATTATATCCTAAAGAAGTAGTATATTCTACAAACGCCAGTATTAACTCGGAGCTAGAAAATTTTTGGAAATTAGAGACGATTGGTATCCAAGAATCACCTCAAGATGATGATGATGATCAGGCTTTAAAGCATTTCAAACGGACCATCATCAAACAGGGTTAAAGATATCAGGTTTGTTGGCCATGGAAGGACTCCAAACAAAAATTAAGCAATAATTATGGATTATGCCTGGGACGATTGAAGAATTTGATCAACTGCCTACAACATAATTCAAATCTCCATTCATATCATCAAATACTTATGGATCAACTACATTCAGGTATAATTGAAAAAGTACCTCCAAAGGATGAGGTAGGCGTTATTCATTACTTACCACATCATGAAGTATTAACTCCTAGTAAATCAACAACTAAATTAAGAATAGTATATGATGCCTCAGCACATCACAAAGGTTTTAAAAGCTTAAATGAAGTACTATATCAAGGTTCAGTAATGTTACCGGATTTAGTTGGAGTAATATTACGTTTTCGGATGATGAAAATAGTGATAACCGCTGATATCGAAAAGGCATTTTTACAACTAGAACTACAAAATGAGGAAAGAAATTGTACACGTTTTCTTTGGTTGGATGATATTGATAAAGATAAAGAATTGATAAAGAACTAACCAATGAAAATATAAAATGTTACCGATTTAAGAGAGTTCCTTTTGGAATAATATCCTCACCCTTCTTATTAGCAGCAACATTAAATTACCACCTAGAAAATCATGGTAGTGAATTGGCATGGGAGATAAGAAAGAACTTATACGTAGACAACGTTATTATATCAGCTAATGGAACAGAAGAGGCCTTATATAAATATGAAAGAACGAAAGAAATTTTTGGTGAAGCATCGATGAACATAAGAGAATTTCTTTCAAATGACGAAGAATTTAACAAAAGAATAGCTGAATGCGACCTAAGCCAAACAAACCAGGAAAATTTTCTTGGTCTTAAATGGAACCATGAACGAGATATTATCCGTGTGACACTCTGAAACCATGGATAGGAAAAAGTTTAACAAAGAGGACTATCCTACAATTCATAGCCTCCCAATACGATCCATTGGGTCTTCTCGTTCCTATAATGATCAAACTTAAATTATTCATACAATACTTATGGAAAGAAAACATTCCATAGGATCAATCTTTAAACAAACAGGACGAACAACAGTGGATAAATCTCATCAAAGAATGGCCAACAAATATAATAGAGCTGCCAAGATTTATAATGGAAACTTCACAATTAACAGAATTCCATATATTTACTGACGCTTCGAAAGTTGCCTATTCTGCAGCTATTTATATTCTCAATCATGGATATCAAAACACATATTCGAATTCATTTTTGATTTATGCTAAATCTCGAATTGCTCCAATTAAAGGTATGTCAATTCCTAGACTTGAATTATTATCTGTACTAATTGGAGTAAGAGCAGCTCAGTTCGTATTGAAACAATTAAATCTTGAAAATAATCAAGTTACTTTGTGGACGGATTCAAAATGTGTTCTTTACTGGATACAGAATTATACAAAGCTGCTTCCCAGATTTATACAAAATCGCATCGAAGAAATAAGGAAATCTAACTTCGAATTAAATTACATACCAAGTGATCAAAATCCAGCAGATATAGCCACCAAAGGAGTATCACCACTTAAACTCCAAAATTGTAAACAATGGTGGAAAGGACCTCGATGGTTGGAACTCAAGAAATCTGAATGGCCAAAGTGCAAACTTCGCTATTCAGGAAACGATGAATTTGCAGAAGCAATTGCTTTGAATTTAACAAAGATGACTCAAACTTTTAAAAGGAATACAATTGAATTTATTGACGTATGTCGCTTCAGCAGTTGGACAAAACTAGTTCGAGTAACTGTTTGGACTTTTAGATTTATTAAACAAACCTGCAAAAAGAAATTAGTGTGGCTAGAACCATTATCCGTAAAAAAGAAATATATGACTAAAGTTGATTACGATATAGCAGAGACTATGCTGATCAGACAGGCCCAATCACGATTGCTAACGGAGGACGAAAAGGAAAAATGGAATCTATATCTAGATGAAAGTGATAACTTATGGAAATTAAGGAGCCGACTGGAAAATTCAGAATTAATGGACGAAAGCAAATATCCTATATATTTACCGGATCATAATTATACTACTGATCTTATTATTTTACACAAGCATAATGAATTATATCACGCAGGTATTGCACATACGTTATCTGAATTAAGACGAAAATATTGGATACCGAGAGGAAGAGCTGCTGTAAAACGAATTATAAACCTATGCTGTTATTGCATTCGCTGGAAAGCTAAACCGTTTAAACTGCCAGCGATGCCAAGTTTACCAGAAACACGAGTAAAACGATCCAGGACCTTCGAACAAGTCGGCCTTGATTATATGGGTCCTCTTTCAGTCAAATCTAATACTGGTCTAGTCAAAAGATGGATAGCACTTTTTACGTGCTTCACTACCAGAGCAGTTCATCTTGAAATGGCGGAGAATTTATCTGCCGAGAATTTTTCGCATGTTTTAAGAAGATTTATCGCTCGACGTGGATATCCAAAATTAATATTAAGCGATAATGCAAGCCAATTTCAACTGGTATTCAAAATCATTATGGAAGAAAACGCTAACTTTTTGGCTACAAAGGGTATGATATGGAAAAATACTATACCAAGAGCACCATGGGGGGGTGGTGTATATGAAAGACTTATAGGACTCACAAAAAGGGCATTAAGAAGAGCAATAGGAAGAAAACTTCTAAAGGAAGGAGAATTAATAACATTAATAGTTGAAATAGAAGGAATCCTTAATACCCGTCCATTAACTTATGTAGGGTTTGACGACTACAGAATCATTCGTCCAATTGATTTTATATCACCTATGGCTTCATTAGATCTACCAATAAATTATGATAGTGACCAAGATGAATATACCCTTATACAATAAAGACTAAAGATAAATTAGTCAAGTATTGGACTACCACTCTTAACACATTAGATGTCTTTTGGAAGTTGTGGAAAGAAGAATATCTTACAAGTCTTAGAGAACGCACACAAAGAGAATTAAAATCACCTAGAATAATAGAAAAAAGAGTACCACATGAAAATGAGATAGTATTACTAAATGAACCAGAAATACCTCGTGGTGTATGGAAATTGGCAAGGATAATAAAAATTAATCGAGGATGGGATGGAAAAATAAGGAGTGCAACAATACAATTACCGAATGGAAAACAAATCGATCGATCAATAAATATGCTTTATCCTATGGAAATAGATGCTACTGAAGATAAAGAAGAAAAAGTGGAAGATGAACCAGAAGAACCCATTGCTCGACGAACCAGAAGTGCTAAAAAATCACAAACTACAATCTACGCTAAGGACAAGTCTAATCTTTTGATAAAAACTTTATCATTAATAACGATGATGTCATTAATACCAAGACAGGTATTAGCTAACAATAGCTGTAATTGGATTACTGGAGTACCCTTTAATATTCCTGAAAAATGGAATTGTGAAGAAATTATTCACAAAAATGCTACATATCACAAAGTGGATGTGTACACACGCACCCATGTAAGAATACCAGCTATAAAATGTAGTAACATTACACGGACTGTATGCACGAAAGCCTTTCTCAGAATATCGCTATCGGTAGTGTCAGACCATACGTCTACTACCGCAACTTCTTCACAATTCTGCAGATATTTAAATATTCGAAAACAAATGAACGGAATTGGACTGATTCAATCTTCTCCTAATCAATGGATAACGAATAAGGAAATACAATACTCCTATGGATGGTTAGGAGTTAACTGTCAATCAACTTCAAACTTCATATTAACTCAAGGAGAAATTCTCATCTACGATGGAAGAGGGTTAGTCTCTAACCTTGAAGATATAAAAGACTGTTTGACACAAAAGGGTGAATGCATAACGAATACTAGCATTATCATATGGAATAGCAATGATACGACCAATCATTGTTTATATCGAAAGATCGGAAGATTCAAGGCTACAAAGTATAACAACCACTTCATCATCGATGAGATACAAGCATCGCTTATAATTGATAAAAATCCCCCTATATTAAACACAAAAATTGTAGATTCACCTCTCCAATTTTAATGCAGGACGATATAGTTATTGAACTAGACGTTGAAGATGACTCGAACTCTACTACAAAATTCAAACGAAGAGTAACAAACAAACTATTGATGATGGAAAAGTCTCCGGATAGAAAGTACGATCCTGAAAACGTAAAACTTCAATACCTTTCTGATTCACTAAGACAAGAATTCCTTCAACAACTCAAAGAAACACAGCAGAGAAGTTGCCAAAACAGAAATAACTTATTACTTTTGATCAAATGGCTATCAATCAACAATCCTACTCTTGCCACGAAACTAATACTTCAAAGAAACGATGTGATAGCTAAAAGAATTAACGGAAATTTGATGGTGGCTCCTTGCAAATCAGAACAATCAACAATTGAAAATATCGAATTCAAAGGAGATTTAATAAGTAAGTTTGAAATTGAGAGAATTAATGCAGAATTGGAAATCCTAACTCAAACTCAAAAAACAATTAATTCAATACCACATCAAATGAAAGATGAACTCTTTTGGCAAGAAATCTCTGAAGAAGGAGAAGAAATTATCAAACAAATGGGAAAGGAATTCAATGAAATTGTTCTACCGATAGAAGAAGAATTTGAAAACGTGATAACACATTGGAAATTGATTTTTATCTGTATAGTTATCGTGACAATATTAACTATTTTAGTTATTATTAAGTGTAAATTTAAATTAGTTCAATCCCTCATTTGTAATACTTCAAAACGAAATTCAAATCAAGCTACCATTATTACTCTCCCTACAGAATCACCACACACTCAATTCATAACTAAAGAAGAAATCCCACCTATTAAACTCCGTACATTTAGCTATATACCTCAAAATCACTCTCTCAAAATTACATCTTAAAACAATTTCTCTCCCCCTTCGGGAGTGTCGCGAATTATAATTTCGCGAAAACTTCTAACCAATTTCATAGTATCATAAATCATCTCTCTTTTTAAATTGTAAACAATCCTACAGTATTCACACATGTATTTTTAATCTCTTCGTAGTAAACACTTTAAATTCTTTACACATGTGATTTTATCTTAGACACACCCAATCTTCACTCATATAAATTCAATCCTAATAAACAAAACCATTAATTATTATCATTGTCGACTACGCTCGTTTAACCAAGATCAACTCCTCCAATCTTCTTCTTTATGATAAAATATCTTCTCTTCTTTTACTGCTCTGTTTACTAATAATACGTTTGCGAAAAATAAAGACTTATTAATCCTTCTACTGTATTGCAAACAATTCGAATATCAACCAACAGACAACCTTTCACGACAAAAGGGGTTTTTGTTAATCATTTCGTTAAGCATGTTATTTTTAACGCTTTCGATTAGAATGTAAATGTTTGAGGGTTTCCGGATAGAATTATTTACCTATGACGAACAAAATGGATGTAGACGGTCTGTTTTTTTATCGCAACTGTTTTGCGATTGCATATGCACTGCCTTCATCATTCCATGGTACATTTGGCGTTGCTGGCGAACCACTTTTGGTAAATAATCGCCCAATTGGACAAATTAATGGTAATGTTACATTTTGTCAGTAAATGTTATATTTTCCGGTTGTTTTTTTGATCAAAATCATCTTTTTTTCCCAGAAATGAAACGTTTTTTCTTATATTGAATTAAAAATAATTTTCTTTTTCATTTAAGTAAGATTATAATATTTGGTTATTTCTTTGCAGTAGAATATTTCTTCATTCGACCATTTTTAACATCATGTTGGGTACAGAAAATGAATATTTCCTATGCCAAACACTGGAAAAAGCAGCAACATCTTGAAGTTGGTCATAGGGGTATGGGTAATTCGTATACAAAGTATGTAGTTTCATTACTTAATTTATGGTTTATTTCTTTACAAAAATTATACGATATCACCAAAATTTTATTGCTTTAATAAATTTCAGAAATGTTACCATAAAGCTTTCAGAAAATAACTCCTGCAAAAAAAAAAAAAAAGAAAAAAAAACATTCAATTCTTACAAAGAAGTAAGGGAGTAGGTAAATAATTACTCTTTTTTTTATTTTTGCACATTCACCTAATTTTTCCAGAATGAATTCACTGTGAGAATATAATACATTCGCTCAATACTGCTGTAAAGCATGGCGCCGATTATGTTGAATTCGATGTTCAACTTTCAAAAGATAAAGTACGTTTTGCGTATTTAGAAAGAGTATCATGATATTGAACAAACTTTTATAATTATTTAACTGGCATTTTTTGCAACGAGGAATAGAGTACTGTCTGATAAATTTATAGAAAAATTATTTTCTTAAATTGACATTTAAAAGAAGGATATTGCGGATTTTTTATACATTAATATTTATAATTTGTAAGAGTTTAAAATTAAACTACTGATTTGCAGTAGATGGTGGTAGATTTAAAAATTTTATAGATTGCCGTTATATTTCATGATTTCCATGTTTTGGTCACTGTGGCAAAACGCCGGATTCCTTGTCTGGAAATCCAACCTCTTAAAGCTTCCAATGATTATCATGAAATCGCTGTGAAAGATCTAAAATTGAAGCAGCTTCAGTTACTTCGTGTATGTCTATTGTTTACTTAATTTGTCGGAATCCTTTTCATAGGATCCATCGAGCATTTTCATGCCAAATCGATCTTTCCCTTTGATAATCTGTCTCCTTATTATTTCTCAAAAGAGTGAAATCCAATCATTTTCTTCTTCAATCACGTATATTGGAACAAAATATTGGGTTTGGATATTTTTAAAAGAAGAAAAACTTTGTAGCTAGAACATTATAAAGCGCAGACTCAAACGAAGCAGAATTACACAAAGGTAAGTGCCGAAGCAGATGAAAAAGATGAACGTCTGGCGTTTCCGACATTAGTAGATGCATTACGTCAAGTAGATTCATCTGTGGGCTTCACATCGAAATAAAATATCCAATGATGCAAAAGGTTTCTTATTTTATGATACTTCTCTGTATATCTCAATTTTGCAGTATTGAATATTACTGAAGCAGCAGGAAGACTAACAAGAATTAATAAATATCCGAAAGGCTAAAAATTAGTAGATGTTGGATAACTTCATCTAATTTACATTTCAATATTTGTATTTGCTATGAGTAGGGAGGAGTTTTTACTGAAGTGGGAGTTACGAGACTTTCTTTTTGTATTAGCATTTGTGAAATGTTGTTTTTGCTTATAAAAGCATAAAGTTTAATAATAAAAGTAATAAACTTTCAATGATTTTTTTTTTCAGAATGGATTGCATGAATGTGAAAATTATTTCAAACGCAATGATTACATTGGCATCATTCTTAATGACGTGTTGGAAAGTGCTGGCGACCGTCAAATCATGTTCTCTTCATTTGATCCTGATTGCTGCGCTCTGTGTGTTTTTGCATTTTGATATTCTTTTATGATTATGTAAGATTATATAAGTGACACATAGTTATTCTCTTCGTTAGAATGATATTATGTAAAAAAAAAAAAATTTTTCAATAATTGAAATTTTTGCTTTTGAAAGATAATTATGTGTTTATATTCTTTCATTCCTCTGTTTTTTACACTGTGCTTATAAATATCGTATTTTATTATGGTTCGTGCATGGAATATTGTGCGCTTTTTTATGTGTAGGAACATTTTTATGTGTAAGAACAAGCGCACAATATTTTTTTATGTGTGTTGCGGTCATACTGTGGAGGGGGACATTATTTACAGAATTGCAAAATTAGAATGGCAGGTATTCCCTCATGACTAGCATGATACTTTTCTCATCTATATAGTAATTGAAAGATCGTCTTGACATGGTCAAGATATTTGAAATGTTGTATTTTATATTTTGTTCTTAAAAGATTAAGACCACTTTTGAGAGAGTTCATGCCCTTATAAATATGATTCTAATACCTTCCCGATTAGATATATCTAAAATTCTGTAAATATTATCTGTCAATCTTCTTGTGCTAAGGATTCAAGAAAATGCATTTTGAAGCAACATGTTAACATTACTAGGGACAATAAAATTAAGATTTGGTAATGAAATCTAAAGTTTGTGAGTACAAAGCTATTCAGACTATGAATTGTTAAAGAATTCTTGGGGATTAGTTTTAATGAAATTAAAATTCCATCATAGTAGAATGTCGTAAGTTGCACAGTTCTTAATTCAATCCAAAGTTAAATTTTCGTCAAGATTTTAGTAATTCGTATGAAGATGGTTGGCAACACGAGAGTAGGTAGGATGATTGGAGTATCGTGAAGCGTACAAATAATCATCTCTAACAAACTGAGATTCAATTCTTTTTCTTTACGTGACTGCGCGTTGTGACAACCAGTACCTGCAACAATTGCTTATCTGAAAACTTTATTTATTTCGGTTTTGACCTCCTCAAGTCAACAACAATGCCCTTACTGAACCATTAGAATATTCGAAAGGAATAATGAGTTATTAGGATTTTTTGAAGCATTTTTGAGGTTCAATTCTTTTTCTTTTTTTTTTTTTGAAATTTTCAATTAATTTAAGTGGGAAAAAAAAAGAAACTTTACTTGGATAACGTGCTAAGGGTCATACATTCTTCTTTGTTCATATTTAACGCATCTTTTATGAGCATATATCTGAATTTAATTAAATTGAAGAAAGTAAGAAAAAGTGACGTCGTGTTATAGATAAATTACTGTAAAGTTAAACCAAGAACTAGAAGTGAACTAGTGCTGAGAATAAGTTATTCTAATTATTGCACTTAAAACTCTCATCAGAAATTTTCTTTCACTAATTGAATTGAAATGTTCTACCAAAATGCTAACTAAATTCTTCAGGACTTTTGCGACTGATTTGAATTCAAAAAAAAAAAAAAAAAAAAAAATTGCTTTGCTAAAATCTTCAGTCCTCTAGAGTATTATTACTTTTCACTGCATGAAAAAAAAAATCCAAAATCCTTGGTATAATTTGATATAATTGATAAGTACCACTTCAATAACTTATTAATCTTGATGCTATAATTAGTTGAACTATTGCTTCAGATATTAATATCTCGCTCAATTTTTATATAATTTAACTTACCGTACATAATTTCGTACAGGAGTAATTGAACGCTCAATTTGTGTAGTATATTTAGGTATTGTTGAAAATCCCACATTATAAACATTTGATCGCCCTTCCAACCATTGTTTCGTTTAGATTACGCATACTGTAATCCCTAGTTGCTATCTGTAATTAGTAACGAAAGTAAATCATTTTTATAGTAAATAGTAATAAATAAATAATTTCACAGTAAATAATTAAATAACTAATATATAATGGTTTTCATTTCTTTCTCTTTTGTCATTTGAAAAAAAAAGAAGAAAACTAATTGATTCTCTTTTTTTCTTTTTTTATTTTATTTATTCTCTAGTATAGGAAGTAAGAATAAAGTTTTACAGTTCAATCATAAGCGTAACTTACCAATTCAGTCTGTGTAAGACCAGTATCAGTACCTGCATATGAATAACTTATCTAAGGATATTTATCAGTATAATGAGGTGTACTACGCTGTAAACCCACACTATGAAGCGGTGGTGTCCGTGTTAACACTGAGCTATACAATGAGCGCTCAAATAATGAAGCTGAAAAACAACAACAAATCATTTATAATATTAGCAAGTTAAATGGATATTCTCTTGGATAAGTAAGTTTAATATTTAGTTATTTTCACTTTGTAATTTCCAAAGAAAAACAAACATTTTAAACAATATTTTTTGCAAATTAAAAAAATCAAATATATTAACGAAATGTTAGATTTTGATACGTACAATTTCGTGAATTTCGTGATAATGATTTAGACATGTATCCGCCACTGTAACTGTATTGTGGCATGATAAGTGCGCTACTTCCAAAAAATGATACGCCTGATTCATGAGAGAATGAATATGATCGTCGTACTGATCTAGCTCCATGTGCTTCAGATCTTAATCTGGCCAACGCTGAAATATAATGATATGTTGGACTAGGTAACAAATTAATCACGTTTGTAACTGCTCAGAATATTCTCGAACCAGTCTTCCTGAATAGATCCTTTAAAATGGTATTTAAATTTTTATTCTTGAAATGTTCACATTTTTCTTTCTACCATTGATGCAAATAATCAATTAATTGTTTATACAACCTTTTTTCCTTTTTTTTTTTTTGCAAGTGCAAGGTATTAAATTTCAAAATTAAAAATTTCCAATTCATTATGTAATCAATCTCTTTTTAATATCCTGTTCGATCTATATTTTCCCACTAAATGAAAGTGATATTTTGAGCCCTTTTTGGACTAGATATTGTTGTTTTTATCAGCTAACAAGTCTATAAGTAAAGATTTCTTTATACAAATTCTACTCAGTTACCGAACAATGTCACTTTAAACAAAAAGTCAGAAGATGGAAAAGATTTTAGTGTAATAAATGATAATTTCAATTAAAAAGGATATCACTCACAAAATTTATTCCAAAAAATACATAGAATTTTTCAGTGAAATACAGTGAAAATACAAAGCGATCACATTAAACGAAATTTAAATGAGCAAATAATGATAAACTAATGGGACAGGAATAAAGAGATATATCATAAAACTTATATAACTATTTCGAACGTTATACACGTACAGCAGTGAATCAAATTCTGTGTAACCACAAAAAAAAGTCTTTGCAACAAAGACGGAAAAGTAAAATTTTTGGACTATAAAATTAATGGAACAGTTGTAAAACTCGTACAATCAACAAATGAAAACTATGAAGAGTTTCAATAGGTATTCGAAATTTTTATGAAAAAAAAAAAAAAAAAAATTTTTATAATTTTTTTATGAAATTTACTAAAAAGCTCAGAAATGATATAAGAGTAAATATCTAATGTTGTAAAGCTATACAGAGAAAGAGAACATAAAATATTGTTGGTAAGAAATAAATGTACTATTATGATATATCTGAAAGTCAATTTTCTTCACAACAACTTTTAAGCTATAACAATAGGAAAATAAACTTTTTAAACTGCATAAATATTGAAGTAAGAAGACATAACATCACAAAGATAATACTCATCCAGCAGCTTTCAGAGAAATAAATCAGCACTTGAAACAGTAGTAATAGAAACAGTAGTTAGAGACGATTGTGAATAAAAGTAGAATGGAGGAGAGAGAGAGAAATCTACGCTGCTTACTTCCAAAAAGTAAACAGTTACAACGAACATTACACACAAAGTTGACGTAGCCACAGGCGTACACTGCTAATTTTATTAAAATTTTGTTTTAATTTTTCTCCATTAAGGCCACAATTGGAATAATTAGTTTAAAACAGTTTGAAAAAAAGTTATGATCTTTGTCTAGAAATGAAATTCCACAAATTCCAGCATTCAAATTTGAGCGATTATATAAGACACTATTAGCCACAATAAATTTTAAAACCAATTTTGAATAAATAATAAAAAAATAGCTTTCAAGTTTTTTAAATACATTAATTAAATTCAAACCGTCTACGAAATTTGGTAGGAGTACCATCATCATCATTTGCATATTCTCGGCGTCTAAAAACTGCTGATCGACTCATGTTTGGCAATGGTAAGTCACAATCATCGCACGCATATGGCATCTAGAATATTGATTTGTGAGCAAATCTAACTTCTCATTAGCTAACCGATACCGAATAAGTAAACGAAACACTAACGAAATGATTTTAAAATAACCAATTAAATCGTTTAAAATGTTACATCGATGTTACATGATTTACTGATTACTTTAAAAATATATTTATTGATCATGTCTTCATTTAGCAGCTACAACTATTAATATAATTATGAAAGCAGATTTACGAAATATTCTATGAGTTAGCTGATTTACAGCTGAAGTAAAAAATGCAACCTAATATCAAAAGTATAAAAGTTGTCGTACCAACTGGAAATAATGAGAACAAAGTGCTTGAGTTGAATTCCACCTTTTGTTTGGATCAAATCTGGAAAATTTCATGATCTAATTTTCTTGTTAATAGATCTCCTAAAAAAAGGCAGAGAAACAAATATTTAGTAGGCTCAAATAAAATAAGAAAAAGAAAAATATAGGAAAAGTTTCTGAAAATGGTAAAAAAAAAAAATCCTATCTTAAGCACTGATAAATTAATTCGATGAGATCATCACCGGCAGCAGTGAATACACTTTTAAGTAGAATGCTTAGCATTGGTTTTATAGTTATAAAATCGGGAAATTCCTCCATTCCCTAAAAATGGAAAAGTATAACAAATAGAAAAAAAGACAATACTTCAATTTCAATCTTTTTCATACCACTCACCGACCAATCTTCCTAAAATACTACAAATCTTCACAAATTGATCGATGTCTGACTCTCCAGGAAATATTGGTACCTGAAAAAAGCAAACGAGTATTTAATTAGATTTGTCAAAAAAAATTGAAACCAAAAAAAAAATCAAAAAATTATATAACCTAAAAAAAAGAAATATTTATATGTTTTCAAATAATTATTCCTTAACTACAAAATGAGAGCGCTTTTGCTAAATGAAAGAAGAATTTTATAATTGATAAAAAAAATAAAAGTATGACTCGTAGCAGAAGTTCAGCAATAATACATCCAACGGACCACATATCAATACCTACACCATATGAACGTGCTGCATAAAGCAATTCGGGTGCACGATACCATCTGGTCACTACCTGAAAAATTTTTTGAATAGAACAAAATCATCATACCGCGTGTTTGAACTAATTTGCTTACAACTAATTAAATACATTTAATAGATTTGGAAGTTTCTTGGCACATAGTAACTGAACTTTAAAAGTTGGTAACATAAGCAAACATTTATACAACCATTAGTGGCAGATTTTGAATAATAAGTAAAATAAATTTCGAATAATAAGTGAAATCGTTACTTGATATGTATAATGGCGATGTGAACCGAAAAATCACGCTAGACCAAAATCGGCTACTTTTATTCGCCCTTGTAAGTTAATCAGTAAATTATTTGGTTTAAATCCTGAAATTACATCGTCTAACTTGTATTAATAAGAAATTGAAATCAAAAATATTCAAGATTCAAGGAATCTATGACGAAAAAAAAATCTATAGAAAGCTTATGGTGAGGATTCATTGAATATGTATACCCGATGCAAAACCCAGTGCAAATGGAGATATTCCAATCCTAGCAACATTTGAAGCACCATATTTTTGATATGTTCAGGCATCAGAATTATTGCTTTACATTTCACCAAATGTTCCAGATCTGTCTCCATGAAATCAAACACAAGCTGAATGTTTGTTTTATGCCCGATTACATCTAAGAGCTGTAATATGGCTGATTAAGAACATTTTATTTCCTACATGATAAGGGGGTTAAAATTTCCAGAGTTAAATTTTTTTTTTTTTTTTTTTCAAAACAGTTTTTATTAGAAGATTGAGATATTGCTGGCAAGTTAAATATGAATTACATGCATCTTTTTTTTTTCTTTTGGTCTCAATACTTCAAATTAATATCAATTCCAGCGACTGATTCTAAATGAAAAACTGTCCAGCTTTTTAGTAAATAAAATAATATCAGAAAAATGTTAATTAACTTATAATCATTAAACGGATCGAGCTTAAGCAAATTTTCTAACGCACATAGGAAATGCTAAGAACCATAAATATTTTACTAAATATGTAGAGGCTGAAATCAAATAAGCAAAATAGTTTTGAGGAATAAATCTATTTTGTAATATTACAGTGTGTACCTACACATTTTGCATTCATAATAATCCAAAATCTATTCTGATACTTTGTATTAATGATAAATTATAATCACCTTTTTCATATGTTAAAAAAAAAAAAAAAAAAAAATCAGGTGCGAGTCTCATTCTGATTCGCATTTACTCTTAAACTGTATAAAACTGTATGAGGATAAAGTGGTCAGTGATTCAGAAGCAAACGTAAAATGTTACCCCAATAATTTTTTCGTGATGCAATTTTTATAGTAATTTAATTTCTCTTAAGGCAGTTCGGCTTATACCATCCATTGCTTCGTGTCTCGAGCCAAACTTTATCTAAGATCGCATAGATGATCAACACCAATGATTTTTTGCTCTGACTTTTAATAGAAGTACAAAAAATAAAAATACTAACTCGCAAAAAATAAAAGTACTAACAAAAAAAAAAAAAACAGTATCTCCTAAGATCAATGTCTGCAATTTTTAATGCATTTAGATTCACAGTTTAATTCGAAAAATTCAGGAGAAAAACCTTTTTTATTGCAACAAACCTTTTTTATTGCAACAAATTCATTTGTTTCCGTATCCTTGGCTTTATAAACATTGGCGAACTGAAGCAATTAAACTAATGTTGTATTGTAAATAGCATATTTTCTACCGAAAAAAAAAATTAGTACAATTTTAACAAACTGTGACATATATCGAAACTCAAATGCAAACTTTTGCATACTGTTTGTTGAAAAACAGTTCACAAAGTAATCCCAAGAGATGAAACGTTTTCATCCATTCATTTCAACAAACATTTCTACCAATACTTCAATAAAATCAACAACAGCCATAAAAATTACTAAATTACTGCTAATTAATTTACCTGTCCTTCGCCAAGATGTTTGATTTTCTCATATCGATTCTTTGCTGTATCTTTGGAAATCACGCGGTTCATCCACCTCTTCTTTTGCCTTTCTCTGTTGACCACAGCAAAATAATCGAAATTTAGTACTTTTCCACTATAACAAAGAAATTTTCAAACAATGCCAAAAATGCATCAGCATATATCAACAAACCTCCACCGAATTTCTGCGTCCTCCTCAAAGCATAAATACTCGTTTCATCCTAAAGAAAACATGCTCTACTTATGTCATAATGCCATAATCCATGCAGTTAGCCAGGCAGATTTTTCTCCACAATTTTATTTTCCACATATTTTTCTGCCCATTTCTACTTAATATCCTCCTTGCGACAGCTTTTGTTATAGATGGACAATCAGATATGTGAGCTTTAGTAAAAAACATGAAATAAACTAACATGAAACTAATAGTATTCTTTTATTAGCAGAAAACAACAAGTCACTTGAAACATTTACAAACGCCTAAGAAAAAATTCACTTAAAAATGAGCATGACAGAAAAATAATCATAGCATGAAATCGAACACAAATTTAATGTGTGAATAGCTAAATTTAAAGTCTACCGGAAAACTGATAGAAATAGACTGTAAAGCTATCAATCAGTTTGTTTATCAGCTCTGATTATAGATTTGTGATTCGAACTAAAAGGCAAGAAATTCTGATAATCATTCAACAAAAATCTTGGAAAAATATAAAAATTTAGATCAGAGAAATGAAAAACTCTGCAGTGGGTCTTCTATTTTCTTTTGATATTTCATTTGATGTGGCGTTGGACGCATTTGCTTTTTGCGCTTTCGTCTTCCTTCCTTTTTCACTGGTTTACTTCGATAATTTAATCCTCGTAACGACGGTGGAACTAAAAAAGATATTCTTTAAATATTTTTTCTTTAAATATAAAAAAGATATTCTTTAAATATTTTTTAAGCTACGCAAATTTGGTCGTAAAGTTTGGATATCGAATTAAAGCAAATTAATTTAAAACTTAAACTACGGTTTCACAATTAACAAGAAAATGGTAAAAACCCATATAATCCGGAACATCGCCAATAGCAGGACTATGAAGATTCACAGAAAATAATTTCTTATCGTGTTCCAAAGCCGCCCTTTCACGAGGGTTCTTAGCAAAATAAGCTTCCAGTCGTTTCGAGCGCAATATTTCTGCCCGTATTTCCGCTAATCTAGCTTCTCTGATTGCAGTCTTGGTACAAGCTGCGAGTACTTCCTGTAAGGATTTTTTTTTCTTACTCACTACAACAAACATGCTTGAATTTCTAAACTTTAATATATGTAGCGATCTTTTACATTCTATATTTCAGTTGCTACAGAAATATGAATGGTAATGTATAAAATTTCTCACTTTTAGAAATCTTCATAAAATAAGCAAACAAAACTTCAGCTTTAGGTAACGTACTCGAGTTCTTAAAACGAATGATTCCAGTTCTTTAATGCGAACTTCATATGGAGTGATTGCATGATGCCCTAACTGCGCATTAATTTCTTCTTGAACTTCATCCAAAACCGGCTTTTCTTGAGGTGAAGCAAATGATAAAGCGTTGCCTTTGTTCCATCCTCTAGCAGTTCTCAAATATCACAAATTAACATACTAAACAATGAATAACATCATAATAAGCAAAAGTTCTTAAAATCAGGACTTCCAGTTGGGAATAGCATTTTTATTTTCTGATTAATACCTGCCAACACGATGTATGTAAGAGTTAAGCGATGTAGGAAAATCGAAATTGATGACATTTGCAACGTGATGAAAATCAATGCCTCGCGAAATTCCTGATTCTTTGTCGATATGCTTCCGTTTCTTTTTCTGCATTTTTTTCTTTTTAGATATCTGAAAATAAAATTATGACTAAAGTGATCGCATACCAAATAAAACTGTCTATTTTGAATAGTTATTATTAATTATTATTAATTATTATTAATTATTATTAATTATTATTAATTATTATTAATTACTATTAATTACTATTAATTATTATTAATTATTATTAATTATTATTAATTATTATTAATTATTATTAATTATTATTAATTATTATTAATTATTATTAATTATTATTAATTATTATTAATTATTATTAATTATTATTAATTATTATTAATTATTATTAATTACTATTAATTACTATTAATTATTATTAATTATTATTAATTATTATTAATTATTATTAATTATTATTAATTATTATTATTAATTATTATTAATTATTATTAATTATTATTAATTATTATTAATTATTATTAATTATTATTAATTATTATTTATTATTATTAATTATTATTAATTATTATTAATTACTGTTAATTACTATTAATTATTATTAATTATTATTAATTACTGTTAATTACTATTAATTATTATTAATTATTATTAATTATTATTAATTATTATTAATTATTATTAATTATTATTAATTATTATTAATTATTATTAATTATTATTAATTATTATTAATTATTATTAATTATTATTAATTATTATTAATAATTATTAATTAATATTAATTATTATTAATTATTATTAATTATTATTAATTACTATTAATTATTATTAATTATTATTAATTATTATTAATTATTATTAATTACTATTAATTATTATTAATTATTATTAATTATTATTAATTATTATTAATTATTATTAATTACTATTAATTATTATTAATTATTATTAATTATTATTAATTATTATTATATTTATTATTAATTATTATTAATTATTATTAATTATTATTAATTACTATTAATTATTATTAATTATTATTAATTACTATTAATTATTATTAATTATTATTAATTATTATTAATTATTATTAATTATTATTATTACTATTAATTATTATTAATTATTATTAATTATTATTAATTACTATTAATTATTATTAATTATTATTAATTATTATTAATTATTATTAATTATTATTAATTACTATTAATTATTATTAATTATTATTAATTATTATTATTATTACTAATTATTATTATTGTAGTGGTTTATTTATGATTTAGGATTATTATCATCAAATTAATGGGTTTTTAACAGAATTAAACTTTATTTCCTAAATTATCTTAATAACTCACACAGCTGTTAAAATTGAACGTGAAACAGGACAATCAATAGAAAATGGGGCGAAGAGTATTGTGAAATACGAATCTACATTCTTTTTGGAGTAAATTTCTTTTTTTTTTTTAATTTCTGTAGAGTAATAATTAAATTGGCTGGACGATCATCAATAGTTGAATTGACTAATTTAAAAAAAAATAAAAAGAACTCAACCTCATTAAAAAACGGAATGGTTTAATACAATCATTAATGGTTCTAAGTTTCCAGTCTTCTCAATTGTTGTATAAAATTGAATGGTTTGATAAACTTTTCAAGCAAATATATAAAGTCACCGAATAACAGTCTTAATGTATCAGTTACTTCGTGTTCAGTGAAAATTTAAGAATACGGAAGCAGGAATTGATGCGATTTCATCTTCACAAGAAGCTGATTTAACTATTCCTTTTTCTAGTGAGCAACCTCCAATCGTTACATTTGATGAATGGACTAAGGAAAAGTTAAAAAAAGAAGAGATTAGGAAAGCTGAACAACAACAGGTTCAGTTTAAGATGTGAAAATGAAGTTTTCAAATTCCTTCAGAACAAATGAGTATTTATTTGGTACATAGAAACTTTTTAGAATAGCCAGCATAAAGCGGCTGTATATTCGGATACTGGTGAGACTTTGAAAATGGATTCCAGTTCAGTTTCTATATCAAAAACTGAAGGTACAGCAGGACTTACGCCGCCAAATATGATTTCTCAGGAGGCTACAGCAAGGAACTATGCTTCGAAAGAATGTGGTGCCAAAGTTTTGTTCAGCAATGATGAGGCTGAAAATAAGGTAATCATATTATAACCAATGCATGTTTTATAACCAGTGCATATTGAAGCTTTATTTCAAGATAAACTTGCTAGCCACTATATGTAACCAATGAAGGCAACGTTAGTTTAGGAGCCCAGTTCTCATGGAAACGTTAGCCTAATTCGCTGTCAAATAATATGATTTTTGATGCATTGCAGAATGCCGTATTGAATGAGAAAGAAGCGGTTGACTATATGCGTAATCCTTGTGAACGTGCAGAGCATAAATGGCTTATTATTGAACTTTCTGAAACGATACAGGTGTGAATTCCAATTAAATGGTTTAAATTTATTGATATATGTTAGATTTCAACGAAATTTCCCATTCATCGTTCTTTGAAATTCATATGTGTTTTGTTTGCTCCTGATTGTTTGTTTCTTAATATTTAGAGAATAATTTTCAGCCAACTGTTTTGTAAATAGCAAATTTCGAATTATTCTCATCAGGGCCGCAAAATATAAGAATTTTGGGCAGTAAACGTTATCCTTCAAATGAATGGATGGCTTTAGGTTGTCGTTGAGAACAATCGTGAAATACAACGGTTTCCAATTATTGCGCATTCGTATGTCAAATTTTTGCGGGTTTCAAACATATGATTTAATCCAATTTTGAATTATAAATTATACTCTCAGTGCTTTTCTATGTGTCCTCATGTTACATCAATTTTTTCTTTCAAGAAATTTACAATTTTAAAATATTTCATCTCGTATCGGTACTTTAAATAGAATTCACAGCAGTTGAATGAAAGAAAAAAAGAACTTTATTGTAAAGAGGAATATGTGGGCATTTTCATGCATTGTATTTTTTCAGTTGGAATTATTGTCATACCGAACATTACTCTACGCTTAGTTTAATGCGACTTCTCGGGATTTCAATGGTTGATGAAGCGGAGGCTGAAGCTGCCGCAATTTCAGACACATCGTTTTCTGTTCCTTTTTTAGACGTTTGATCCACAAGTTCAAAGCATCAAATAATTTTTGTGTTTTTGAAGGACAGTTGTAACCTAGTTTTCATTTCGTTGAGAAAAAGAATGAGGATCTCTTTAAAAAATTTCCTGAACATGGTATCTAATTAATATTTTCTGTAAAAATATGTTTCCAGGAAGTATTAGCAGAAAACAATGTAACGGCAGGGAAGATGAATATTTGTATGCCAACTAATATCGCAAAAGAGAATGTTTCATTAGTGGCTGAAACATTCTTTCAAAAAAACTTCGAATGATTTACTTGACATATGCCATTTAACATTTGTCCTACTCATATTGCAGTTAATAGTAGAGTAATAAAATTTTATTAAAGAAGAATGAAAGTGTTAACGATTTGCGCTTGTTAGTGCTGTGGTGAATGCAGTTGGCAGTATAGGAATTGATAATATGAAAAGCGTTCTCGAATCGACTTTTCTGTCGAAACGTACTGGAGTTTCTTTACATAATATTACCAGGTCTTGTTATTTCCATTTATATTACAAAAGTTATTTGTCGTTATTTGTGCAGTCTTGGTATATCTCACCTATCAAATATAAGGCAGTACAATTTGCTAAAATATGAAATTCTGTTAAGTAGGTATTGATGAATTTCAGTATCTTGTGTACCATAATATTGAGTTTTTGTGTTATTGCTCTTGTGTTTTGTAGAAGCAATATAACCATGGCAGAATTATGTACGAAATGTTCTCCCGACACTATCAGTAATTACGTTTTATTTTGTCGAACATTCTTTGGATTTCAATATAGTTTTATTGGCACTGGCAATATTAATGAAGCAAAAAATAAGCAGGTTATTAAAAGGATGTTTTATCATTTATAATACGAATTCTGGCTCTTAGTCTGACCATTTTTTACGTCTTGTGAATATCGACGTAAATTATACTGGGCACTTTTTATATTTTCTTTATTAATCCTTTTTACAGGTTCGTATTTCATCTTTAAAAAACCAGAAGGAAAGAAATCGAACGCGACTTCTAGAATTTTTCCTTTCTTCCGTTTTACCAACCGATATTTGTGAGCTGAGATTGGAAAATTTTAAAAATGTCACTTCATATAACGTAACAGAATCGGATAGTATCTCAACAATATCACCTACCATAAATTCACCGATGGCTTCAAATTCGTTAAGTGGAAAGTTGAACAGAGGTGAGAAAAAATTTGAACACTCCGTAGATTGATCAACTGTTTTATTAGTCTTTATATAGCATAGCTGATGGTAGATCTCTACTCTTTTTATAATTATGCATATGTTGTTTTACAGGATTTATGATTCCTGGAGGAGTTACGATATTTCTGAAACTGAATATAAGCGAATCAGTAGTTTGGAATTGAATATGTCTCTCAGCAGTGAATATCTGTCGGAACTGAGTTGACGTTATGTTTTACAAACTAATGAAAGACGGCGACAGGTTGAATTAATTATTAAACAAGCGGAAGAAGCAGCTATTAATGCCATCAGATCTTCCATTAATGCTCTAAAAATTCAGGTTCTTGATTTCGAAAAGTTCCAAGACAAATAAACTTGATATGTGAAGAAAGTGTAATGATAGGGACATTCTTTGCAGATGGATGCTCTTGCAGCCAGCTTGAGAGAACTCAGTGAAACAGTGAAAGCTTTACCGCAGGAAATTACTCCAGCACATCATATATGATAATGAAGCATGTCGCAAGTAGAACTAATGATGCAGATGTATCATTGGCATCTTCTCAAGCACATTTCCATGGTTATCTTGGCATATGGATGGTATATTTTGTTTGATTTTTAAGATCCATCTAATTTTATTGCGTGTTATGGCATTTTGAAATATATGAAGTATCTTTACTGATCGACCTTCATTATCAGTAGTTGCCAGTATTGTAAATTCAAATATTAATATGGTTTCTGTAGGCAGTTTGTACAAAAGGTCACATTTACTCCTTGCATAGATTCTTGCTATGGTTTGTTGTATGGTTGATTTTACAATTAATACTGAGGAGCTAATTATATTTCAGAGTGGTGAGCTGGTTTGTATCATTGTTTTTATAAACATCGTAATGCTACTCATTCTACTGTTATTACACTATGCTTTTACCATTATTAATCGCAGTGCTGCTGGACAGGTAATGGATGAGCAGCTTCAGAAATTTATTCAAGATAATTCCGATGTTCAATCGACCGGTACGTCCAGTTTGAATAGCGAATAACTTGTATTTTCCAATAGATTTTCGTAAATTATTGATCATGGATTAATTAATGAGAGGAAAGAATAAATCTATTTCATTGAATGCATTTTCTGAGCAGCAGCTGGTAGAGGGAAGTCACATCTGTAACTTGTGACGTGGATAACGTTGTTCAGGTTAAAGTTTTGCGCGACCTTTCATTGCTACTACTACTTAATGAGGCATGTTTGCTAACGGAAAACGAAACAAAAAAAAAATCTTTCTAATATGCCAGGGTTAATGGAATAGGTTGATCGACCACAGTCTCAACTTTCAACACATAGTGAACAGAATCTGTGGCAAACAAGGAAGCGGAAAAATAAAAAACGCAAGAGAAATCGCAAAAGTGAAAATTTAGATGAACTATTGTGTGGTTTCAGAATTCTAGCAAATTTAAGAGTTGAATAGTTTGAGTTATTGTGGAATTTTTTCTATTGAGATTTTGAAAATTTCTTTTTAAAAATGAGCAAATAGGTCTGAAGAAATGGAAACTTTTCAAGATACTATGTGACAAGTCAGTCAGAAATGAGAATTGTTGTAGCCTTTCTCATTATTTAGTTCTTCTTTCTTCCAGAATTGCTGAAAGAGATTACTGAATTTCTGAAAAAAATTGTTGAAAGAGAATTCCTTCAGCTTACGGCTCTATAAATGTTAAAATTTTAGTGCATATTCTTTATCTTTTCATCTTGATTTAAACAAAATCGTTTTATAGTTCATGACAAATTGTTGCCCATTCTTGCCGATTTTTAAGATTTGGGAAAAAGTGAAGGATTTTTTTTTATGTTTGAATTTGTTTCCAGTTAGGTAGTAGTAGTCAGTTAGGTAGTGTATTTTTTAATTCGAATAATTTTAATTTATTTTCACCACTTCATATTGATTATGAATTAGTGCAGAACTGTTTGCTTGAATTTATTGTCCTGTTTTGCAATTAATATATAAATTGCTTTGCTTATTAAATACAAGATTTTGAGTTTCTGTCTTATTTTCTTGCATTCCTTTCCTTCTTAAGTTCTTGTTGTTCCTACTTTCCTTTTTGAGAGTAGTTGACTTACCCTTGCATATTTCTTTAAATTATTCAATAAGGAGAATTTATTTCTTATCTATCTATATAGTATCACGGAAAACTAGTTAAAGATTATTCAAGTAAAAATGCTATTAAATTGCATACAAATTTATTCTGGAACATCAAGTATTACTGAAACTTGATTACTGAATACTTGATAACATAACTTGCAACAACGTATTTATTTGTTTCATATTTCATGTTTCATACGAAATTTTTTATACATACTTGTCCTCATATCTTCTTTTGGACGGGTCATTGCTTATTTGTTCACTTGTATGCATCTATTCCTGTGTGCATATTTGTATAGTTGAAAATGATTAATTTATGATTAATCATTAATGTTGCTGCAATATCGATGTACATTGATGCACTAACAGTTTGATAGAAAATAAACAATGCGGACGAAGAATTGCATTATCAAAGTTCCACTTCAAGTAAGTTCATTCATGCTTAATGCTTAATGTTTGTGTCCAATTAATTTCATTCGATGATGAAATGATGCATTTATAGGTTTTTGCAACAAATTTGTTGTAGATGTATACAGTTAGTAATCTAATATATATGATAAGGCTGTGACATGTCGTAAAAGTTAGTAAATCTAATATATATAGCTCGTGTTTTTTGTCAACATTTGTATCAACAACGTCAACGTTTTTAAATCTAAGATATACAATTAGTTTTTTTTTTTGTTTGAGATATTGGCTATTCACAAAATTGAGAATTTTGTCGTATAGTATTTTAGCAATTATTTAGGGTGCAAATTTTGTAGACTTATTTATAGTAATGGCAAATTATGGATTAGGCACTTTTGTAACATACGAAATTGATGATGAGTTAATGGAGGAGGCTCTTTTGGGGCATAAAAACTATGGACAAGAATGGATCTTTTGTTACTTCTAAATAATAGAAATAGAAGTTAAATTCTATTTCTATTATTTAAAAGAATCGAGTGAAATGAGCAATAATCGAATTAATGCATTCATTACTAATATTGTTTTCTAAGAAATAATTTTTGAAAATTCTGGAAGTTTATTTATCTCTTCAAGTACTATGATAGGAAATGAATTATGAGTTAAAAAAAAAAATTAGTTATCTATTAATAGATTGTTAATTTTTCTAAATGCATATGATTTCCTTTTTGGAATACTATATAGCAAAATTATATTGCAATATTAATTTCATTTCTTTTCATTCATAAAATTGTTTCATCTTATTAATGCTAACACCTTTTGAGTATAAAAAAAAAAAAAAACAATTGATACTACTATCTTTGCTTGATAGAATGTGTTTAATAACTGGATTGATAAAGAAGTGATAATTGATAATCATCATTTACTATCAAAAATTATCACTGTTGTGAGCGGTTGCTCGACTGGAAACTTGATTTGAAGTTTTAAAAAATGGTTGATCCATATAGAATGCGTTATGTATGTTTCAATTGAAAATTCAACTACTTATTTGATTGATGCCTTCTGATAAATTTCTTAAATTGAGTGAATAAAATGGTTGTGATAGGAGAGAGAATTAAAATTCTTTGTTATTGCAAATTCCAATCAAATTTTTTAAAATTTATCTCTAGCATTTACATTTATTTGAGTTAGTAAGAAAGTATTTTATAGAGAAGGCGACCAAAAATGGTTTGGGCACAGCAAAGTGATATTTATACAGGATTAGAAAAGGTATTTTTGTGATTTATTTTATTGAAAAGATAATTTTGTGATATGTTTTATTTGTTATAATTTGGTGGAAATAATTTCAATTTGCCTTCTTCTAATTTTATAACTTTGCTCCATTTGTCATTCTTTTTTTTTTTTTCTTTTTACCTTTATCTTTACTTATCTTTAAAAAATTTTGAAAACAAAAAAGAGTTAAAACTGAGCATTTACATATATGTAAACTTGCAGTCCGATCGTGAATCACCTTCATCGGATGCAATCAGTGAGAATATGAAAAGACGAAAAAAAAGGTTCGTAATTAGTATCAAACAGAAATAACTAATAATAGTGAGCAAAAATTTTTGATTTAATTTCCTTCCGGTTGTTAATGATTCATTTTTTTTTTTTTTTTTTTGATGATATTTGGATGTATTTCAGATCGGATGAATCCGATAATCCATATCGTCGACTTTATGGTGTTAGCTTTTTAATTTAATAAAGTTAAAATAATTTTCAATTTTGTTAAAATTTATTTTTTTTAAAATTTTTTCCATTTCTAGAAAATCTCTTGTAAATAATAATAATTCATTTTATATGATAATTTTTAACAATTTAGCAATTAAAGCTATTATTATTATTATTTTTTGCATCCTAAAACAATGATATTGTTATGACTAAAAAATAATCATTAGTCTTTCTTGATGAAATAATTTAAGAAAAAAAAGAATAATTAAAAAGTTGAAAATTTTGAAAATAAACTTAGATATTATTATTTGCTTTTCTTTTAATATTAATTGAAAATAATGCATTTTTTTTTTATCAAATGCAGTCTACACCATATCAATCATCAAGCGAATTTATTGCACCATCAATAGCTGGAGGGGTATTTTTTTTTTAAATTTTATTTTATAGAATTAAAATTAGCATTAATATATACATACATACTATCATATTGCTCTACTGTTCATTTTATAAAGCATAATTTCAATTTAAATTTAATTTAGCCATTACAAGTGCCTAGCATTATATTTGAAATCGAAGAAGAACCAACCAGGACTTGGTACTACTGTCGTTGGGCAATTTATTGGTTATTATGGTTTATAGCATCTATTTTGGCTTATTTTCTCATTTTTCGACGATATTACTGTTCAATTCTTATGGAATTTTAATTGTATATCTTTATTTTATCTTATAAATTCTTTTTCTATTTCTTCTTTTACACTGATTCATTTAGTAAATATTCATTCTTAAGAAAATTATATAGATAACTCAGAAAGATATACATTATAATAGTTAAATTTATTCAAATTATTTTATTTGCATTATTTAAAATATCTATTTATAAATTCTTACTGAAAATATTATTTCAGCAATTAATATTAAAAAAGTATTTAAAAAAAAATTTTGCTATATATTTGTTTGAAATTTCTCAAACAAGTTAATCAATCAATTAATCAATCCCATTTATTATGAAATAAATTGACTTTTTTTTTAAAGCGTTGAGCAAACTAATAATGTAAGTAATTATTTAGAATAAAAAAAAAATCAATTGAAGATAACTCAGAGAGATATACATTATAATTTAACTTACTTTTATTTTTATTCTATGAAAACTTAAGCCTACATTGTTGGCATACCAACAAATATTTTGAAATGTGGAAATGAGAAAAATATGTCAACACAAATAGAGAACAAATTAAAATAATGATCATTTCATTTATATCAGTAACCGATGACTGATTGTAACATTTGACAATTTACAATTACATATCTTCATTTTACATATGAAACTGTACTCCTTTCTTGCATTCTCGGAGCTGAATTATTCAATTTTATTTTTGAGTAAAAAATTAATGAAATTAAATCAATAAATAAGAATTAGAAGGATGGGAATTTTTCATAATCAAAAAAACTTTTTTTTTCTTTTGGAAACTCTAAAAATAAAAAAAAAAAAACGATATTCTTTGTGATTTCATTTTTAAAGATTTTCTTCATTTTTATCTTCTTAAATTATACATCTAATTTTAACTAGGAAATTCGAAAAAAAAAAAGAAAAAACATGCTGATTTTTCAATTGGAAATTAATGTCAAAAACCAGTTTAGTAATTATTATATTTCAAAGAAAACATCTTATTGAAAGAAGTGCTATTATGAAGAAATGGTTAATAGCATAACTGTCGCGAATTATAATTTCGCGAAAGCTTCTAACCAATTTCATAGTATCATAAATCATCTCTCCTTTTTAAATTGTAAACAACCCTACGGTATTCACACATGTAATTTTAATCTCCTTTTTGTAAACACCTCCAATTCTTCATACATGATTTATTACTCATGAGATTTTGAGTAAAATTTATTGTAAACACTTCTGTTAATCAATATCAATTCCTCCGATCTTCTTCTTTAATATAAATTTCTTCTCTCTTAATTTTATTGCTCTGTTAATACTACGTTTGCGAAAAATAAAGGCTTATTAATCCTCCTATTATTGCAAACAATTCGAATATCAACCAACAAACCCTTCACGA